TGGCACACTGCGAACCAACAACAGTGTTGCGCATTCTTTCGAGCAGGTAGTTTTGCAGCAGCCATTGAATCGTATCAGTCCATGATGGATAAGATTGATGAGGATATGAAGGCCGACTTACGTGCTTGGTTCGCTGGTAAGTATTCGGTGATATTTCCCTGTCTCGCCGTTTATAATCATCAACTACACTTCACTCAGCTCTCAAGTGAGGTCGAAACATGGTCTATGCTTCCCATAGAGATGGCACGCTTGCAGCGAGCAGTTACTCATAGTTTGAAGTTCCTCATGTAATTTTCATTTGTACCTTGACGGTAGCTGTATTACTTAGATTAGTGCTGCCGTGGTCCGGTTCGGTCCGGTTCAGAGGGTCATAGAGGAGAACCAAGAACCGGACCATTGGTTCGGTTCTATGAAATGTCCGAACCCAGAACCGGACCACAGAGAACGGTTCTCTATGGTCCAGTTCGGTTTTTTTGGGGTCCGAACCCGAACCGGACCCAAAAATTCAGTAGGGAGCGCAGGTAGAAGTTCGAGAGTTTTCTCCTGCATCTACGAAGGTGGGTAGAGACCCTATGGTAATATCTTTGAGTCGAGTCGTGTGCGCGTTAAATATGAATGATCTGTCAGGATAAGCAGCGGTCAATTTGCAAGATATCATTTCGAGTGTAACAAGCACAAGGCATTAACACAGAATACGAGTAATGAGGGAGACAGTAGGTGCTGATAAACTGCTCTGTGTGTGTGTGAACGTGTAGTGAGTACAAGGCGAGACCGGAGTAGATGATGTGCTCAATGGCAGGGTGCAAAGTTAGGAAGTTGGTCAAATATGACTTATCACAGCTTCAAAACGAGCTTTCCCGCTCGTAACCTTCATCTCAGTCCAACAGGTTTTGACGTTTGAAGTTAGGGTCCAGAACTGTTGCAAGAAAATACGGTCCAAAGCGCCACCCGCAAGTGTTTGCGCCATCGTGGAAGTGGTGAATGGTGGTGGCTGGGAGTGTGCAAAGACGCAGGTAACATGGCAGGCACTTGTTGTTGTGCCGCAGTCGATGGTCTCAATACCAAGCGACATCAAGAAGTAGGAGGGCATGAAAGATGGGGCGTGGCATGAGAACAGGTGGGAGAGAGTTAGCACGAGAGAATGGGCACAAGAGGACAGGTACGAGAGAGTAAGCATGAGAAAACGGGCGCAAGATAGCGAGCACAAGCAAACTTGGTCTTTGTCGGCGCGTTGATTTTAGGGGTGGAGGCGGTGGTTTCGCAGGAGTGGGACGATGGGCTTGCGGGAGGAGTTGCACAACGAGACGTGTGGTCTGATTCATCAGTTTGAACAGTGCATATCATGACTTACCTTGTCAATGGGCCTCTGCATTTGATGGAAACAAGTAAATCTTGAAGCTTAAGAATCCCTGAGGCCAAAGTGGATCATCAAAGGAAGGTGTCAAGGCGTGCTTCAACAATGTGGCAAGCTTCTTTCGGTTCGCGGTTCGGAACGGTTCGGGGCCGGTCCGAACCAAAGTCGAACCGTCCGCCCAATGGCAGAACCGAGAACCGTACTATGGTCCGGTTCTGGCTGACACCTGGACCGTGGACCGAACCACAGGAGAACCGGACCAAAAGTCCAGTTCGAACCATGGTTCAGGACCGGACCACGGCAGCACTAACTTAGATAGTCCTTAGTGTTCGTGTCATAATATCCTGGCCCGCTTGAACATGTTTAGCCTATGTTTACTTTTACCTGAAACATCGTCTCGCGCGTCTGTTGTGAAGTTTCAGGCCTCAGGCTGTGAGTTATCAGCGTGACAGTGGTCATATGTGGCTGTGACGTTCGAGTTCGAGTTCGTCATCGCCACACAAACTTGACCATCCATGACACGAGAACTGTACACTGTATGCATCATGTCTCGGCACTGCTAGAACACGAACTGGTGGGCCCCTCTAGAAGGTCATTGCCTTACTGATTGTCATCCTCAACTTGAACCACCCGAAGTCCGAGACAACATGTCTTCGAATTGCCAATTCAAAATCATTGAACCCAAAATACTCCAACGTTCGAACGAAGTTCAATAATAGCTGATTTGAATCAGTTTGAAACAATTATATACTAATAACAAATCGCACAAACCCATGACATGCATGATACTTGGAAACAGAGGAGGTCAACGCAAGCCTCACTGCGACTGTAGGATCTACGCTACAAACGTTTCAGGGAACAGAAGCTCAACATGTCACCGGGTGGGATACTATATTTTGGGGTGATGACTTTATCAAAATGGTCAATCAGGTGAACCGTCTTCCTATCTGCCGCATGGACTCCTGAAACAATTACGATCAGGCCCATCGACTGATGTGGAAAATTGTGGCGACATGACTTGGACGCAGCCCATTCATTTAGATTGGCAAGCAAGGTGATTATGATAATAGCCTCGTGTTTTGGGCATCTAGTGAGGGAGTTATGCTATGAAACAGATTTAAAACACCCCATCACGCGCGCATCTCTGCAACTTCGAGTAAGACACCGTCCCCACACACACATTAGATCCACCTCAACTCTGCTGCAGCTCCACTAAAATGACGACACTCACTCCAAACATCACACCCATTCGAGCATTTGAAGATCACGGGAATCGCGTAGTCGCAGTCGCAGTTATCAATTCCAACTACGGTGAACGCATGGTCACGGGCTCGTATGACGGGCTTCTTCGTCTATGGGACTTGAAAACAGGTGTAATGTTGAAGAAGATGGAGGGGCATCGCAGTCGGGTGCGCGCATTGGCTGTTTCACCAGATGGGCAATGGATAGCAAGCGGCGATGAGAGTGGAGAGCTCATCAACTGGCATGGAAACACTGGAGAACTCAACCAAACGATCAATAAAGCTCACGACGGCTGGATACTTTCGCTTGATTTTTCTTTTTATTCCGCCCTGGCTAGTGGATCATCTGACACCACCACCAAATTATGGAGCACATGGAACATGTTTAGTCGGAAGGAGCCCCAATATTCAATCGACTGTGGTGGAAAGGTCCGCTGTGTTCGGTATTCACTACATGGATATCTCGCAATTACAACAGACCACGATATTCAAATTTACCATAACACCCAGTGCTATTCCAGGATGATGGGTGGCAACTACTCGCTCGCGTGGACGCCAGATGGCACACGACTTTTTTCGGGGGGAAATGGGGCAGATTCCACCATACGAGAGTGGAATATATCGACCTGGAAGCAGGTCGGTGAGCCCTGGAAAGGCCATTTCAAGAATATCCACGCCATTTCTGTGAACTCTAACGGCACTCTCCTTGCCTCCGCATCTCATGACAACCGTGTCCGCCTCTGGCGACTCTCAGATCGAAGAAACATTGCCATATTCAAGCACTCTGGAGAGGTGAACTGCGTCACGTTCTCTGCCGATGGCAAGCGCATCCTCAGTGGAGGTGTGGATAAAAAGATCTCAGAGTGGCCAACATCCGAGGACGCTTTGCCAGAGGACGGTCCAAAGGATGGTCTCATGAAGGAGCAGGCGACGCACCAGGTACATTTGTTTTCATTTTCCCGCTCATTCATCATCTAAGCGGTTTTTTATGGCAAGGCTCAAGGCTACTTTGATTTCAAGGCATGTTCCCACCTTTGACCCTTATAATAACACAATGTGAACATGAATTACGCAGGTTCTCGCTATGAAATCGACAGTCCGCAACGCATGCATAGTTGGGGACTGGCGTACTGCTGAAAGGGTGCTAAATACAGATATTGACACTGATGCCGACAATCACACCGCCTATGCCAATCGTGCATTTGTTATGGCGCGAAAATGCGACTGGAACCAAGCACTTCAAGACGCAATTCAGGTGAGACTGACGTAACCCATCATGACGTCCTTACAAAAGTTAACTTCAATGATGGCATAGTCTGTCAGCATTCAGCCATCGTTGGCAGGCCATATCTCCCAGGGCATTGCTCTCTGCGGGAAAAAGCAGGTTCTGGCTGCAAGGATCTCATTTGACCTCGCGTCCATGTTCACGAACCGAGATTTAAAGACCAATCATTTCCTTTTCTTGATCAAGGCAGGTAAAGTTTTATAACATTTCTCCGTGCTTCATTGCAGTTCTTAGGCCATTGCGTTGTTCAATGCAAATGAACATCAAGAGACAATACTGCGCATCCGAGAGCTAGCTGCGTGTCCCGATGTCGATCCTGTCGCTTGTTGTATAGTGGAAGTGAGCTCGATCACACCAGATTCATATTTTGTTTTTGATTCTTGCCTTTCGTACACCAGGCCCACCTACGTGTCCAACTGGGAAACATAGCCTTGGATGGCGCACGCCACAACGAAGCTGTTGAACACTTCACTGCCGCTGTCAATGCTAGCACTTTCTTTTGCAGATCGCCAATTCATGTGATGTACGATGAATTTGTCGTGGTACGCCGATATGATACAATGGAAAATTCTTTTATGCTCAGCTGCGTGTTTTCCACAGCTCTTTGGCTGGGACCTCAAGTCCTTGTGGAAAACTGCGAACCAGCAACAGTGTTATGCATTCTTTCGAGCAGGTAGTTTTGCAGCAGCTGTCGAATCGTATCAGTCCATGATGGATAAGATTGATGAGGATATGAAGGCCGACTTACGTGCTTGGTTCGCTTGTAACTAGTAACCGTTAACTGCACTTCACTCAGCTCTGGAGTAAAATCGAAACACGCTCTATACTGCCCATGAAGATGGTACACCTGCAAGAACGGTTGCTTATATAGGTTGATTCTCGAGTGGTTTTCATTTCTAACTTGACGGCTGTATTACTCAAATAGTCCTTGGTGCTCGTTCATGTCATCATATACCAGCTTACCTGAACATGTTTGGTAACCCTACGTTTCCGAGTACTTATCTTTACTTTTACTTGTAATAATGCGGTTGGTGTCATACAAAATTGATGGTGTGGCATTGGCGCCTGGCGCCTATTTAAAGTTATCGTGCCCTGACGCCTAATATCAACCATATTTCTTGATGGATGGTCCTGACCACATACAACCATGTCCCAGCAAGACTTAGACCTAAATTGGTCGATATTGTGGGATGCTACCACCTGTCTCACTTGTTATTTTGCGACAGAGCTCAACAATTGGTGTTAGTTTTCGCTTCTTCTTCACTCCTCATCGCTCATCGCTGAAAAAAACTATGCACTCTTATCTAGCGATCAGACATCCATATATCGCAGCTGTAACTCTAATATACATCTCTGGCACTCCTGAACTCCTCCTAACACCACTGCGGATTGCGCGTTATATGTGCTTCCTCCCATTTCGGTTAATCCTTTGGCCGTTCAAACTCTTGACCAGATGCATCCTGTACATCGTCGGTTTCAGAAGACAGGGTGTAGCAAAAGGTACGTCTGCAATTACAGCTGTAGTAGCTACAGGACTTGTCTCATTGCGGCATCAAAGGTTCATACGCATCCCAATACCAATCCCGTCGTTATGGTGGCTATGTACCACCGCAATCTACCTTTTCAAAATTCCAGGCACATGGGGCTACCGATGATTACGAAGACGAAGATGAGCCAGAATCAACGTTTGCGGCTCCTGTGTCTTTCATGACGGGTATTGGAGCCTGGTTTGTCTTAGGCAGGGCGTGGGGATGGTGGTATTGATGCGACGAGCAGTAGTGTGGATGTTCGAGAGGGAGTTGAGTCAGTACCAGCAACATGGAATACACTTGCGATGCTCTAGATATTCATTAATACAACTTATAAGTGTGACGTATATTCGTCTACTCAGTAGAACGATGTGTTCCCGTCAATTCGCTGTCAGCTTGAGCAGCCCCCGTCGAGTATTGCCTGGTATTGGTCGAAAACGATACTATGATGTTTGTGAGAGACTGATTCGCGGAAGCAGCGCGGAGTCTGCCGTGGTCCTTACGAACACCGCGGACTGCCGAATCTAAATTGGTCTGCAACAAATCAATTCTCGTTCGCCTGACAATTTTCCGACATGCGGCGTCACATACACTGGGGAAAAATATATAGAGGCTTGACTTTCTTTCCGCGACACGCACACCACATGGGCGCTGAGCGCTGAGCTGCCGACAGGGTGGGAATGTTGCTTCATTTTGAATGCTCGTGGCCAAGTTTCCGGCTTCTCGACCTTGACTAGACTCGGAGCTGCATTACATATGATACAACATTTATGCATACTTATGGCTGTATGGCATCGACACATCCAGCAGAATTTCGAAAGGCATGTGTTGTGCAGATGGCTTGTCAAATGATCAACCTAATACCTATGACAGATTTAGGATTTCGTGGGAGCTCGATTGATGGATCGATGAACGTTGAACATCCAGCCGGTGAGCGCTTACAGTCGTTCGCACATACTATCACGAAACCTTTAGTATTGACTTTTCACATCTCCAGCTATGACCGACTGGTCGAAATTGTCGAGCAGCATTTTCTCCCAAGGATCCGACGCTTTTTCAGAGGCTAAACAACGAGTGTAGGTCATGCACCCATTGATTCCTAGCCTTTTGCTGATGTCGGTAAACGCATACCTCAGCAGCCAAGCCATTTCTCAGAACGATCTAGACCCGCAGAACATAGACTGGTCTAAAGTATCGAGCAATGTTGCCTCCCGTGTGTCTGATGCTCTGGCAGAGGCCAGACAACTGGCGTATGTTCTTTACCTCGTAATCATTACGCCCTCACTGACGCAATTTAACACGCAGAAATCAGGCTGCGGCTCAAAGAGACATAGACATACAGAACGTTGACCAGTCCAAATTGCTGGGCAATATTGTATCCAGTGTGACCGATGTTCTGACAGGTGCCAAGCGACTGGTGTATGTAATCCGTCCCTTGATTGTTATGCCCTTGCTGATGCAGCTCGATACGCCCGTGTCAGCGATCAGAACATGTCAGCAAAAGATCTAGGCCTGAAAAACATCGACTGGTCTAAAGTATTGGACAACGTTCTCTCCCATGCTTCTAGTGCGCTGGCAACAGCAGGACGACTGGTGTATGTAATTTGCTGCTTCATTATTATGCCTTTGCTGATGGGCTTGATGCACACTTTCTAGTGATCAGGTATTCATATACCACAACTGGCGCTCTGCTATGGCAATTATGTCTCAGCAATACCAGGAGAAACTACGTCCCTTTATTGGAGTAATCTTCAGTAAGTTAAGACAGGTCTCACATCACCACAGACGATCTGACGGAGATCTAGACATAACACGCAACTGCTGGGCCACAATGCGGGGCTGTGATCTCTCTAGCCTTTTGTTCGTTTTGACAGAGGTCAACAACTTGTGTAGGTGGCATTCGGCTCTTGATTGCGATGCCATTGGATTGATGCATGCCTTTCAGCAATCAGGCACCCATATGAATCAGCTGGAGTCTTGCTGGTCATCTCTGCGTTTGGAGATCATGCGATCTTTCTGGCATTATTGCAGTTGACGGGAACAACTGCAATGTTTTTGTGTTTTCTCCCGGCACGGTTGATTATCTCGTGTTTGGGCTTTGGGAGTCGAGGAGTAGAAAAAGGTACACAAACACAATGCTTTCTACTTGCTAACCGAACACGCTATGATAGGTTCATTTGCATCGCAATATCAGTCCCGTCATTACGGTGGTAATGTGCCGCGAGGCTCTGGATTCGCGAAACTCCAATCATATGGGTCCGTCATGCCGACAGTCACCTCGACACTTATCTCATTGTTGGCATATACTGGAGCTGTGATTATCTTGGGCCGGGAGTGGAGGATGCAATTAGGGGACTGGTGTCATTTTGTATCGAATGGAAGGTGATCATCTTGTGGAGATATGTATGTCACCATGGTCAAAATGAATGGCAGGGTTCCGGGTTGGTTTGTGGGGGCTTGATGGATGCCATGGCGCAGGTTACATGTAACTGATGCATAAGTTACAGAACAAGTGCTGGTGGCGTTTGCACTTGTATATGTGTAAATTTGTGACCGGCCAACTTATAAGAGACCGTAACACGCGGAGGCAGCGCGGAGTACCTCGCGGTTCTGCCGACTCGGAATTGATTCGCACATACGTCAGCTTAGAACCTGGCCTCAAACCTCGAGGCACACAGCAAATTTAGGGTGCAGGCAGATGGGCCTTCCGACAGATGCGGCTTGTGTCAAACGACCGAGGTTTCGTGAGAGTTCAATTGGTTGATTCACCGGTTATAACTTACGGTCGTTTGTCCATACTGTCACGAAGCCTGTATTGCCCTTCATGCCTCCAATTATCATTATGTCCGACTGGTCGAAATTGCCAGACATTTTTTTCCCCAAAGTGTCTCTGACAGAGGTCAAACAACAGACGTATATTATTCACCTCTTGGCTATTACGCTTTCGCTGACGCTGTTCGATGCACAGCAATCAGGTCGTGTCCCAGAAAGACATTGACTTGAAAAACGTTGACTGGTCCAAAATATGGGCCGATATTCTTAATGCTCTGGGACAGGCTGGACGTCTGTTGTATGACATTCACTGCTTTATTTTCACGTCTTTGTTGATAGGGGCGCTTGATGCATACTTTCTAGGGTCAATTTGTGGAACACTATCCTTTCCAGTGTTTTGCTCACTTTAATAGAAGTCAACGACTGGTGTAGGTGTCATCCAGCTCTTGATCGCGATATATGATATGGCACTGACACATACTTCACAGCAATCGTGCATCCATATGTCGCAGCCGGTGTCTTGATATTGCTCTCTGCAGTCACAAATATTGGAGTCTTCCTGGCATTATTGCAGCTGACGGGAACAATTGCAGTGTTCCTGTGTCTTCTCCCAGTGCAGCTTGTCATCTGGTGTTTGGGCTTCAGGAGTGAAGGAGTAGCGCAAGGTACACAAATCCCTGGCAGCGGTTTCCACTTCCTAACTGAACACGCCACAACAGGTTCATTTGCATCCGCATATCAGTCCAGTCACTACGGTGGTACTGTGCCACGAGGCTCTTCGTTCGCGCACCTCCAATCAACTGGGGCCACCATGTTGCCAGTTCCATTGACGCTCGTCTCCTTGTTATCGTATGTTGGAGTTGCGATTGTCTTGGGCCGGGAGTGGGGGTGGTGGCTCTAATGAGGCAACTGGGTTGTCGTATCGTGTCGAAAGGAAGCTGAGATTGTGCAGTTGAGTGAAGGTCTGGGTTTGCGAGTGATCAGGCCGAAGAGCCGATGATACTACGTACATATGTATGGCCTTTGTCTAGAGAATGACAACGTGGATTTAATTTTATGGAAACATGCACCAGCGCGCTTGGCATTTACTTTATAAACAGATTTGTTCGGTTAGCAGGCTTACATGCATACAGCCATGTCCCAGCAAGATTTAGACCTACCCGACACTGACTGGCCTGAACTATGGAACATTATGCACGCCTCTTCACTTTATGCTCTGCCAAAAGTCACTACTAACTGGTGTAGGTTATTTCAAGTTGTTTCTTCACGATATTGTTTATAAACTTGACAACGCAATCTCCAGCAACCAGGCATCCATATGTCGCAGCTGGAGCTTTGATATTGATCTCTGCCAATCCTGAACTCTTACTTACGCCACTACGGCTCGCGGGGAGGTTTACATTGTACATTTTCGGTTTCAGGAGACAAGGGGTAGCGAAAGGTACATCGTACTCATTCAACTACAGATGTCTCATGATCTTGAACACGAATATGACAGATTCATTGGCATCCCAGTACCAGTCCCATCTCTATGGTGGCTACGTACCACGGGACTCTACCTTTGCGAGATTCCAGTCATACGGGGCCGCTGACGATGACATGGAAGAAGCACTGAGATTAGCGAGCGTTGAAGAACATGAGAATAGAGATCAACCTGAAACAGAATCGATGCTTGAGGTTGGTGTCTCCTGGCTGTCAGGTATTGGAGCTGTGTTTGTCTTGGGCAGGAGGTGGGGTGGTGGAATTGATGTGGTTGCTGGACATCGTGTACGTTGAGTGGAGGGAGTGGTAGTCAAACGTGGAACCATAGTATCGACGGAATCCCAAGTGAGATGTTCATGTCTCCTTGATCAGTAAAAGTGTAGTCAAAACGTACGCTTGTTCCTCGAGTAGGACTTGAGTTTCGCTTAGCTAATTATACGCGTCGCGGTGTCTGAATCCGATGGTCGCGCTCAAAGTTTACGCTCGAATGTCTTCCCGTCGTCGACCTCCGTTTGAACTTTGCAGCAAATTCAGGATGACTTTGTGAAAACGACAAGTTTGACTCTGGCATCGTGGGAGTTCAACGTTCAACAATTGATGGTAGGTGTCCATGATCATGTGCATGAGCGCTTGGTCGCTCTTCTTCACGCCTACTAGTCACCAGATTCAACCATGCCCAAGGAAGATACAAAACTGCCCGACTGGTCGAAATTGTCGGGTATTGCTCTTTCCAGTGCTTCCCATGCTCTGGCAGAGGTCAAACAAATGAGGTTATTGGCCCCATGAGTATGCACTGGCATGGCCTTTGCTGATGGTAGCTTAACATGTTTCAGCAATCAGGCCGTGTCCCCGCCCAATGTAAACCTGCCTGACTGGTCGAAAGTGTCGGGCGCTGTTCTATCCCGTGCGTCCGATGCTCTGGCGGAGGTCAAACAACTAAGGTTCTTCGCCCCTTGACTATGCATGCATCTTGTTAATGCGGTTTGCACTCTTTTCAGCAATCAAGCCATATCTAAGAAAGATGATATAAACCTGCCAAACATAGACTGGTCGAAAGTATCGGGTGATATCGTCTCTCATGGGTCCGACGCTCTGACAGGGGCTAAACAATTGGTGTATGTTATTCACTTCTTGATTATTCTGCCTTGACTGATGGCCTGATGCACACTTTCTAGTAATCGGGTTTCCGCGCATGGCCACTGGAGCTCTTATATGCCAGTGCTTCAGCAATACCAGGAGAAGGCGTGGCAGCGCATAGGGATGATATCGAGTACGTTAATAGGGATCTGATTTCTTCGCGGACGATCTAACAGAGGCCTAGACCCATTCGGTGTTCACTCGATCAAAGTGTGGGGGACTATTCTCGCGGGCACTTCCAAATTGCGGGACAACATTTTCTCGGGCGTTTCCAAATTGTGGGGTGTCATTCCCTCGGACCCTTTCAGATTGTGGAGGTTCATCCTTTCTAAATTATGGGGCACTGCTAGAACTCCCTTGAGCACTTCCGATTCCAATTCGTTCACTGCCCTCTCCTGTGTTTCGTATGCTCTGACAGGAGTTAACGCCTGGTGTAGGTCATTTCTCCTCTTGTTGACAACATTTTCTGAACGGCTTAAACACTTCCAGCGATCAGGCATCCATATTTCGCAGCTGCAGTTTTGCTATCCATCTCTGGGGATCCTGATATCCTTCTTGGGCCATTGACGGGAAAACCTGCACCGTACACTCGGACCTCGACTGTTCCCAATTACTGCGAAAATGCGATCACGAATGAATACGAGAATGTGGATGCACGCAAAAGTGAATCGACGATCGTGCTTAGTGTCTCTTGGATGACGGGTCTTGGAGCTTTGTTTGTTTTGGGTAGGACATGGGGGTGGTGGGATTGATATGGTGATGCCGTGTATTAGTGTGTTGCGCCGAAGTGTTCTGTAGGTGCACCAATATTCGAAGCCTTTACTGACAACATCTCAACGAACAAGTCCTTACTGATTCCACCGATTCCAACGCCTAACAATCGTAATATCTATCCAGTGACCATACCACATGGTATGAAGCACACTGCCGTAGGCAGAAACCCTTTGAACCAACTGTGTATCTTGTGAAAGTGAAATTCTCCAAGCAACTATTATATCGTGCACAACTGAACTTTCTTTCGGATGATCCTCACTCACCATCCAGCGCGCTTGAGAGCCCTGCATTATGACCTATCATCTGGATCAGCACCCTTTCTTCCAAGCTGATGTGCGAAACCTACGGTGTTTAAGAGATAGGACCCGTGGCCCTCGACGCCACTTCCTGCTTTCGCCCAGTCAGCATCAGGAAAATGACGATGTGCTTATTCTATTCAATAAATTCGTGAAATAACAGCCGTACGCATTATTACTTGATCTTCATTATCCAGCTTGAGTTTTTTTCTATACCACAAGCTGACCGTAGGCTAACAGCGTCGGAATGAAGACGGTCAACTGTTGTTTGTCCTTATTGAATTCTGAGGTCATTACATAATCTGTAAGTATACGCATTGTGCAAACAAGCCCCAATTACCTTGCTTCATTCAAGAGTCCGTATCCTATGGTACGCTGCCACTCTGAGAACTTGAGGCAACATTAACGGTCGTAATGTCAGACAGTTTGCACCTACTATCTACGTGGTGCGTGCAAGTACGGCGATAGATGTCGCAACGAGCATCCAGCGGATAGAGCACAACAGAGTGGTTTTGGGAGTACGTTGTCTCAACTTTCCCCGGGCTTTTCTTTCATATTCTCACATATAATTATTAGATCAAAGTTGGACCAATAATAATTCGAGAGACATAGCAGTTCCATATTCGTAAGTTATTCGAGATCTATGACGCAGGAAGGTCGACATACGGTCAATCTGTTAACACCATGGTTTGTAGCATTGAATCAGTGACAAGAGACATCACCCCTCTACAAGATAAACCTTTATGGCCACTGTCATCCTATGGCGCTGCAAAGTATGAACCGGTGGTTATCAGTGGACTAGATGAGTCGCCTGAGGAACTTCGCGCGAAGGCAGTGACTGCGTTGAAGGCAGGGACTATCAACGAATATGTGCGTAGTATAATAAAGAAAGTATATCCTTCCTTGACGACTGATCAATCTACCTATAGATGAAATATGAGTCAGACAAAATAGCTGCCTCAGAACAGGCGTACAACAGCGCCAGGAGCAACGTTCAACAGTTGCATGACGCTGCTCTCAAATTGAGCAAGGAAGCAACCTCGCCTGGGTCGAGTGCGCTCGGACATGTGTCCGCTTTTGGTGGGCTATCAGCATTTGGTAGCGGGCCAGCGTTTGGTTCTGGCCCTCAACCATCGGTGCCTGGCGCGGCTTCCAGTGCCTTTGGAAAGTCTGCATTTGGCCAGCCTGCGTTTGGCCAGACAGGGTTTGGCACATCTGCGACGACATCTGCATTTGGACAACCTGCGCAAACGACATCTGTGTTTGGCCAACCTGCCCAGACTACGTCAACGTTTGGGCAGCCACAACAATCAACATCTGCCTTCGCGCAACCACAACAATCAACATCCGCCTTCGCGCAACCACAACAATCAACATCCGCCTTCGCGCAACCACAACAGTCAACGTCTGCATTCGGGCAGCCGCAGCAGCCAACTTCTGCGTTTGGGCAGCCTGTTCAGACGACATCAGCGTTCGGGCAGCAGCCAAGCTCTGCGTTCGGGCAACCCTCTGCATTCGGTTCAGCCACTCAGCCAACGTCAGCTTTCGGACAATCTTCGTTGATTAAACCTGGGTCAGGTGCATTTGGCTCTTCGGCACCTTCCACAGGCGCATTTGGGCCTCCATCATCAGCATTTGGAAGCACTGGCACTGGCATTGGAGCCAGTGGCGGTTTTTCTGCCTTTGCACCTCAGCCATCTGGGTTTGCGTCAGCACCGACGCAATCATCAGCGTTTGGACAACCATCATTTGGAGCCCCTGCCCCTGGGCCAACACAAAGTGCATTTGCTGCACCTGCACAGGTAGAAAGTGCTTTTAATTCTGCGACACCCTCGCAAAGTGCTTTTGGCTCTATGTCATCTGCACCAAGCCCAATCGGCGCGTCCTCCGCAACATCCCAGTCTGCCTTCGGAGTAGCGCCGGCGACGTCTGCGTTCGGTAGTACAGGCGCCGGAGCTCCATCCTTCGGCGTTCCTGCGCCTGCTACTACTACTGCTTCCGCAACTCCGATGGCAACAACCCCAATCGATGCTTCGAAACCGTCTGCATCAGCACCTGGGTTTTCACGATCTAAAATTCAGATAAAACCTGACAGATACGCTGCATTATTACCGCCAAACTACATGGACATAATACCAGCAGATGTCAAAGCTGCATTCGCGGCAGAGAAGTTCGAATGGGGGAAGGTACCAGAGTGGATACCGCCGAAGGAGGTGCGGTAGGATTCATTGTAGTGGCAACGGACTATTGTATGAGTCGGTCTTATGTTTTTTTACAAACTCCATTATAGAATCGCATTGTACAACACTTCACTGTACCACTGTCGATTTAAGTAACAGACGCTTGATGCTACATAGTAGCGTGGTCTAGATTTGGAAAGAGCAGCATTTAATGTTTCCGAAAATCATATACTTCGGATACTCCGGTAAGCACTAAAAAGAACTCTATCGTAGTTATCGATCCCATCTTGATTGTCTACCACAACGTTCATCAAAATGCCTTCAAGGATTGCTGAGCCCTCTGCGGCAGACACGATAGTAACCCAGGACTTGGCGTTCATTACCTTTCCGCCCTTCCCCAAACCCCCACCGGGTGTGACACTCATCCCTTTCAAAGATTTCAGGGCGCGCGGGATACAGCTGTTTGAAGTTGTTGGCGGCCAGAATGAGGAAGACATGGAGCTCGATGGCCTGGGCATACCCACCGTCGAGTTGCGCGTGAAGCATTCAACTGATGAGTGCAAGAGCAACACACGCAAGAGGAAACGTAAGAAGAAGACTGCTGGCGTAGACAGCGCGCCTGCAAGGAAGGTCCCGTGGTACGAAGAGTGGGAGGAAGGTGAAGATCTGCGTATCACGAAGGGCAAGTTCGATTCGTAGGTCGTTTTTTTTCTTACCACCTTTGATCCCATCTCAAGGTCTGCGATATCGTGAATTGTTGCTGATCAGCTTTTTAGGAATATATCTCATGTGGATCGCCTCTTTCACGCTGCAAACGACTTTCGGGTCAATCGCACTTGGCCGCCGGTCACTTCTGGGGTCAGCCAGCTCTGGGACCAGGTAGTTATTTTCGTTTTTGTGCTTGCGCGAACCTTACACTTTCTCGTAGTTTCGTCTGTACGTTGGACTGCTTGTCAATCCAACGGTCTATCGTAAACCGACCAAAGACGAAGCGGGTGACGATGACGACGATGACTGCAATAGCCCTTCTAATACTCAGACCAACGGGGAGGATACCTTGGAACTAGCTCCTTCCTTAAAGGATCCTGCTAGCTCAACTTACTCTGTTGAATTAGACGATCACGACGACGACGAAGGTTTACAGGCACGCAAATCTGATCTAGAAGAACAACGCGAGGAGAAGCTGATCGTGTTCTTGAACGACCCGGAGAAGTCGGTGACAATTTTCCTATCGTCTTACATGCGTGAACAAGGCCTCATCTGGTTTGTTTCTCAATAATAACTTTTAACGTGTTTCTTATTGGAGTATCTCTCGTAGGTCAGAGAGGAACCTCGTTAACGCACCACACCTCCTCAGCTTTTTCTTGAACTTTGTCCTGCGGAACCGTGTCCTCCCAAAAGCATCGCATGAACGCGGCATCCGTAGTGCCCTTGACATTGTGGAGCTCGCGAAGAAGGAGCTGCCCCTGACATACAAGATCGGGCAGGCGTTACCCGATGTGTTCAGCGATGGCTGCAAGGAGTGCTTTGGCCGCAAAGGCGGGATTGAATGGTCCTTTGACGAACACCTAAAGACAACTGATCAGCCTGCTCCAGGTAATATCAGCCATCTACATGTGATGGCTTATCGATCAGTTAAAATTCCATTTTCAGTCGATGCGACTATTACTGTTACCGATCAGCATGGTACTGAAACGGAGATCGTTCTCCCAGATACGGAGGAAACGGCACTTAAAGATGCCATCGAGGACAATGTTGACATGGAGATCCAGGTTACTAACATGCGCACTACTGCCCTCGTCGCTAATGCCAACACCATCGCCCCTATCACCACCGCACCACCCGACATTTGGTCTGGAGACACGACAGACACTGTTGCCGGCGGGTGGGGTGCAACGGGCGACACCGGAGGTTGGGGTTCTGTAGGTTCTGACACCTGGGGTGCCATCGGCGATGGCGGCACATGGGGCCCTGCGGATGACAATGACGAATGGGGTGCGGACTCCGCCCCACTCTCATTTGCACCCGAAGTGACTGAGCCCTCTTGGCTTTCCCCACCGCCCTCGCTCACGTCTCTCCTGGGTCCCACCTCTTTCCCACTGACTCACAGCACAGGGGTCGTGGAGTCCTCCACGCGCCGTATCAAAGCGATTCACCTGCCTCCGAAGGATAAGGCAAAGATCAAGGGTGACACAGCGGAAATGGTGGAGGATGAGTTAGAGCGGCGGTTTGCGCGGGTTGTCATGAGCCCGTGGGGGAGGGAGGAGAGTGATATTCCAAAGCCATTCATTCGCAAGACCTCCCGCGGTGCAGTGGTCATGCCCGACGGCGAGGTTGAAGGCAGCGGGTCCGGAAAGCCGCACAATCCATATGAGGACGATATCGTCCTGGTCTTAGAGCCTACCTTACTCGATACGCTGAGCCTCGGGATGGGACTTGGAGGGTTATGGGTGCAGATCGTGCGCGAGGAGAACGAAGCGCCGAAGAAGTCTGACGGAAAACGCGGAAAGAAAGCCAAAGGTCCTCTGGATGAACTTTCGGGGAATTACTGGTACCTCGAAGAGTTGATGGGCATCTTCCCAAGCTATTTCATGTCCAGGGAGAACGCGAAGTAGACCATCTTATTTGTCTTGTCTTATCATGCTTTGCTTTTTGCTTTCAAAGTTTAGTGTTTGATGCTATCACAATGTATACTTACCTTTGACTTACCCGCTTACTCGACGCTAGTGTATGTGCTTTTCATGACTATCTTAAATTGAATGCTAAGAGATGTTGGATTTTTCGTTCCGCAATACGCCAGCATATCTACATAGTACATGTTGAAGGTACATGAATGTCGGTCACGCAACTTGCCATCGCGAAGGTATGGATAGTGACTTCTACGAACACATGGAGCACAGCACATGATGCAGTGTAGGCTGCATGCCACGGGCATCTGAGGTTAAAATCTCTAGTAGGAGTTAAGAGTAAAGTCTCCGCGGACGTTAAGAACAACGCTAGAGTAGAACTGGTACGTCAGGATTTCGTTAAGCATCAAGAATCAAAATGTACGAGAAGGCAAGATAACAACGATAACGGTCTTAAGACACAGGGAATTCGAGAATAATTGGGACGTTAGGCCCTGTGCGTTATGTGGAGCAAATGGTGACCGGTCCGTCTGTAGCCTCCAATTTGAAGGTACCGCATAGATGGAAGGGTCACGAGGAAGAGTCCTCCGAGAGTTCCAGTCATGCCCTGTGCTTGAGGCTTCTGTCGCGGCAGTCGATATCACGTACGTTGACCTTGATAGAATTCTGGAAGAGTCAGGCTGGCCGCACTCAGGGCCTAAATACCACTCAACCGAAAAACGAATTCGGATTTTCCAAAGGAATTATCGATTGGCTCTGTATTAAACCATTCCCGGAGTAAGAGCGGGGGAGAAAGTCACAAGGAGGGTGCTGGGAGGCAGCGAGTACCGCCAAACGGGTGTATGCGGCATTTGATCCGAGTCATGGCGTCCGAAACATTTTGGCCCATCCATATTGGAATTCCAGACGCTACCAGGAATTCGCTGCAGTAGCCTGTTCGGGTTGTGTTCGGGTTCAAGTTAACGGCTATACAATGAAACAGTAAAGCCGAGTCCGATAAACGTTTGAGAACCTCACGAGGCCCAATTGATTCAATACCAGAAAATCTAGAATATCATGATCGGGAATAAAACGAGCTCGGCTATATGTTCTCACCGTACTACCACGAGATGAAGCTGGCACTATTACTTATACCGTGACATCGTCTTGCTATCGCCATCCTGATCTCACCTTCAAATCGAACACTGGTGAGTAACTTTGGTTTTCATGTTCAGTTGCCGTCGCTGCCAGGCTTGTTGGATGATCTAACAAACTTGGGATAATAATCACATGGCATGTTTCACTGCTGCCGTATGTCGCCGCGACTCGCACCATCACTGTGATAATCGATAATCTACGACTCCTACAACATCGCTTATCTCGGAACTAACCAACATGTCAGACAGGATAAGACAAGTATATAATCACCTCTCAGGTTCAAACACGATGTCGGCGGGTAAGCCCTGCTTATAATTCCGTCACTGTACCCCGGCATTCAAATCATTTCACGAATCAGAAACATGGCAGGATGTTCCCCTTGCTCCACCCGACAGGTGCGTACAAGCTACAACATATTTGTATCCTTCACTAAAAGTCACGGATAGCATTTTTAAATTGACCGCGGCGTATAAGGCGGATACGTTTCCTCAGAAGGTCAACCTTGGTGTTGGAGCATATAGAGATGATGACAATAAACCTTGGGTCCTTCCTGTTATCAAGAAGGTGCGTTCTCTTTATATCCTGACTACGTTCTAGACTTAATCGCTGCGCCCCCATAGGCCACACAAATTCTTCTGAATGATCCTAACATCGATCACGAATACCTCCCCATCACGGGTTTACCAGAGTTCAGTGCCGGTGCGGCAAAGCTCATCCTTGGTGCCGATTCGCCTGCTATCGCAGAAGGGCGTGCTGTTAGCGTGCAGACCATCTCTGGAACTGGCGCAAACCACTTGGGAGCCTTGTTTCTAAGCAGGTTTTATCATTGGGACGCCCCAAAGCAGATTTACTTGAGCAATCCCACCTGGGGTGAGTTTTTGTAGATGGGTGCAACGGAAGTTTAATCGGGTGTTCTTGTAGCTAACCACCATGCCATCTTCAAGAATGTTGGAATCCAACCTATAGATTATCCTTACTATGACCCGGCCACCATTGGGCTAGACTTTGATGGTTTCATTGAAACCCTACAAAGTGCTGCGCCGGGCTCGGTATTTTTACTACACGCTTGCGCCCACAACCCTACAGGAGTTGACCCTACTCGTGACCAATGGAAGCACATCGCTGAAGTCATTATCGCCAAAAACCATTACGCATTTTTCGACTGCGCTTACCAGGGTTTTGCAAGTGGCGACCTCAACAACGATGCGTGGGCAGTTAGATACTTCGTAGAGAAGGGTGTGCCGATGCTTGTGTGTCAGGTCAGTGAATCACTCATTGGACTACTGCAGCACAACTGATTGGACCAGAGCTTCGCCAAGAACGCAGGTCTGTACGGCGAGCGGATCGGTGCGCTGCACGTCGTCCCTCCTACGAAGGATGCTGCAGACCGTGTTAAGAGTCAGCTGTCGGTTTTGCAGCGCAGTGAAATAAGCAACCCACCGGCTTACGGTGCACGCCTGGTGAGTTGATTTCAGTATGAACTGCGCTCATCTGATGAGGGGTGGGGAATAGGTCTCGCTTATCCTCAACGACAGTGCCCTCTTTGACGACTGGAACCGCGACATCAAGACCATGGCTGAGCGAATCATATCCATGCGCAATGAGCTTTATCGACTCCTGACGGAGGAGCTGAAAACGCCAGGCAGTTGGGTTCATATCATCAACCAGATTGGCATGTTCAGGTGAGTTTGTGCCATTGGTCACGTATTGGCGCCACGATGTGGCTTGGATGGCGCAAAGCATACCATCCTGGAAATGAATATCGTACTGATAACGGGCGACAGCTTCACTGGAATCAACCCATCTCAGTCGCAAGCACTGATAGATACTTTCCACATTTACTTGACGGCCAACGGACGAATTTCGATGGCTGGGCTGAACTCGCACAACATAAGATACTTTGCAGAGAGCTTGGACAAGGTGGTCAGGGGGCAGGTGTAAATGACTTGCGGATTGCCAGGGTATCTGATAGTGATGTCTTGGAGACGAACGTGTTAGATCAACTGTAGGTCGCTAGGAACTTTGACAACTCAAATTTGCGTTACATAATCAGCAGGACGTCAGTTATAAATAGATTTCTACTTATATTTGGACTGAATTGTGCAGAATTTCACCAAACAACGACAAAATTAACTTTGAAACTTCGCTTGCAAATGTCCTTCTTGGAACTTCTGTGCGACACTGAACAATCAAAATACACCCAATTGCAGTACTCGGCCTTTTCTATGGCAGCCCTGGAATTGAATCCAACAATGATTTGGTACGATTCTCGCGAATACCACACAGCTGCTGAAGTCCGAACAAGGTTGGCTGGTGCATGGAGACAACATTCTACCGATGGGCCTGTGGCTGAGTGCTGAGTGCTGAGCCACACTGCTGGCCATACTAGTCACGTATTTGTAACTGATGCCAAATTGGCGCGGTCTCCAACACAGCGTGCACATGGATGTGACTCCGCATCATGGTGTTACAATAACATGTAACCGAGAACCCCTCCTACGGAGGTCACCATGACCTTAGCCCCTATCCCGCCATATGCACCGTCTTGGAAGACTTACCGACTCAACGGAGACTCGTAGAGACGCCTAGAACGGCCTGGATGCCGTTAGATGACCTAGACCAGCCTAGGCTACATCTGGACGGACCTAGATGGTCCTCGACCCGGATCATGGAGAAGCTCTGCTTCATGGTCAGAAGAGAAGCCGCATGCCGTAGCATGCGCAGTTAGACTCAAAGGCATGCTACGCCTTGAGGTCAGATAGAAGAGGCATGGTAAAGCCTCATGGATAGATAATCGCCCGCATGGCATCAGATAAGATGCCCTTGTATGGACACACTTATACCTACCTACCGAACGTAGTATTGGTCTGTGCACACGGACGACAGTATATAGAGCAGACAGAATCATGTATATTCCCTACTTGATTCTACTAGGTTTTCATCAGAACTTCCTCTGTGTGAATATCCCAATCACTCAGTCTAAGCCGCACCTAAAGGAAAGCCGACACTACCTTTAGTGGAACCCCCGAACCTCTCATTCGAGAGAAGATCCCCGTCTCTCCAGTAGCGAGCCCGCTATCAGATTAGGAAATCCGCCTAGGGAGAGCTCGACCTATCCTAGTCGTAACAATGGACTGCAATGCTCAACCAATGTTGAACAATATATTCTCCTGTGTTGAGTGCCGTTGTAGACGGGCGTGCAACAACCTTGCTTATGGAAATGAAGCTGTGGTCAATGGGAAGATCCACAAGACAATCAAAGGCTTCCATTTCATATCACAGGAACCTACCAAGAGTGGTGCTTGCACGGTGACAATAGTTTTCAAGACCCTCATTCCAGAATTCCAATCATCCCGAGTTATCGCTGACAGGGCCAGGGTAGATGAACCGACAAATAAAATCTGACAGCACACAAGTTTGACTGGTGACACAAAAGAAATTTCATCAAGATGCACGTCCGACAAGACAATTGACAATGGTTCTCTTGCAGTGAGATTGGATGAAGCGTGTGGGACCGTGATGGTGACAGTGATTGATCGCAAACAGCGGCGGTGTCAGAATAGTGCAGGCGTTGAACGTCTAATATGCAAGCTTCATGATTGCTAGAGGGTGCGTCCATTTCAGTGTAACCAATCATCCATTCCAGGTACATTCAATACTATGACAGACTGCCTACCTTGACTTCTTCAAATCTGTCTTTACGGCGTAGTTGCTCAAAGTCATCACAATAGCTGACCATGGCAGTAGCGGCATTGTCCCCGAAACATTAACCTGGGATTGAACACAACCGAAAGGCTGGATGTGGTAGCTTCTGTGTGTTCACTTTGCGTTTATCTCATGTGGATATTATCTATACCCAGCTCCGAATTGATCGATCGTTGGTTTTGGAAACGAGAGATGAATATTCCTTTTACTACTCAAGAGTTCACAGGCCTCATGATATCAATATCCAAACAAATCACATCTTCATCATTTGTTCTTTCCAGCCAAGCTGGCACTCAAATGATCGACTTGTACTTGTGAGTCAAGCCAAACCAGCGAGCGCAATCAACAGGCTTTGGGGTTTGTACTCAGTGCAAGCTGGCCTCCATTTTTGAATGACTACCATTTTAGGTGGCGGAACACTGATAGGTACGTCCAGGCTCCATCACCAGAGACTGACATGCTTCTCAGCACCAACACTTCAGAGCTTGTTTGGTAACTCGAGGTAAGGCCAATTTCATCAGATTGCTTAAATTAACTTATTTAGAACTTACTCCACTTGGTTTGGCGCCCAAGTATGTCAAGATGTCCAAGGTCTCAATTTGACTTGGAGGGCAACTTGAATGTCTTAACATCAAGCCAACAAAGACACTCAGAGCTGAAAAGCATTTTGAAGACAATTTTTAAACTTAAGTGTTGCAAGAAAAATGAGTGTATTAAGATGCCAGCATGAAAGCATGGTGATCTATCAGGCTATAGTGTCAGATTTAAGCATAAAAGTGTCTGATTAGACACAGACCTTTATGCTTGAACTGTCTAGTTCCCTGATGTTTGTATCTTGATGCTTAAAGGCTTCTTCATACATACCTGCTTTATGCTTCAAGCTTCTCATCATGCATAAAATCCCTTTTTTGGTAACGGCCCTCCCCCTTTCTGGTGTAGAGACTGATATCTCTGTGGCCTTGTAGAGGTCTAAATGATGTCTCAACCACTTCCAATTATAGTGTGACTCATATCTCATCCCAGCGCACTTGGTGCCTCAGCGGCCACTCATGCGCATGAGCACTTCGGTTGTGCATCGGCGTGTGCATCCTCAGTTCCGTCGCTCGTCCTCTGTCCATCCATTCCATGTCTGTTCAGTTCGTCGGTGCGTATTCCCATCATATTTCTATTTATTCTGACATATCTCTGGCGCTTACACTCATATTCCGTATGTTTTGTCATGGACCCTTATATTACATGTTATCACATATTCACTCCACTTCTCAGCTCGCTTTAGCGCCTGACAGTGCTTAGCGCTACTTAGTATATACTTGTGCCTGGCTGTAGAATGATTATCTTCCTTCCCGCACATTGTTGGACTTTAAGTCTAATTCTCTGTCATAGCCGACAATCGCTATCAGAATACCCAAAGATACTCGAGCACTAGTTGTGGCATTGTTCTAAAACCTCTGCTTAATTGTCCTCCGGCTCGTTAGAGTCGCTCCGCTCCACCCACACACGCGCACCGTCACACTTCGTCACTTGATAGTGCTTTTGTCCGTTTGCGCTTCGCTCATCGTCGTGCACCTTATTAGGCTTGACTAAGCGCCTGGTTCAGTGTTTTCCTTCCATTTATATGCTTAGAGGAACTTTCTCAGTAGCAATCCCCTTGGGCTGACATTAGCTTGTGCACAGAGGACCATCTGAGTTTATCTCATACTACCTATTTACCTACCCTTTACATTCCTCATCTACACCGGCTTCTCCCTGCCCTTTGCAGCTTCTTCCTTCTCCTTTGCAGCTTCTCGCCCCCCGATGTGTTGTGTCAGATCCAAATGTTCAGGCCTCAGGCACCTCTATGCCAATGTGTGGGAACCCTTTTGGTAAAACTGTACAGTTGATGAATGTGTGGTACTTGCTGTCTGTTAGGCTTTAAGACATCTTGATATCGGTGTAGCACTCAGGCTTACGCTGAGCACATATTCAGCTAATTCCCAATGCATGTCAAACACTTGAATCACTTTCCAATGTTATCTGACGCTTACCCACTCAATCCGATGTTTATCCGCTAACCTGACGCTAATCCAATGGACCCGATGTTTCCTGTGCATCGGACCCGATATTTTCCTGCGCACCCGTCCTCCCTATGTCCTGTCCTGTAGTATCTATCCCCACTAGGTGCGCAGTTATCAGTTTTCACACCGCTAACACTGTAGACCGTGTTTTTACATGTCCGCAGTACCACATGTCTTATTACATAGGACATTGGACCCGAAAATTACCGCTACTACTTTCGCCTATAGCACTCTGAAATTCTACATAGACACTATATATTTTACATGCCTCCTACTTACTTATTTACCTTTCTACCTCCGAGTAGGAGGAGGTCATTAGATATTTGTAGTTCTTGGTTGAATTCTGCAAATATCATCCTTTCATTATCCGAAACACTCTGAAAACACTGACAGTAACCCACCATTCACTATCCCCGACACTCGTTACATTCCCAACGCTAATCCAATGTAACCTGATGAAACCCGCTAACCCGAAACCTGAAAACATTGGACCTGACGTTTTTACCTTCGGACTAGTAATTATACCTTCGGACTCTGTTTCCCGTGCTTCGGACTATCTCCCTTTTCGTATAACTAATTATTCTAATACCTTACAGCGAACCCCTCGGGTCGAACGCACTTGTCTTGCAAGTATAGCAGACTAGGCTGTGTCAGACCACAACATTATTATATTGCTGATTACTTACTTCATGTAGTGTTCAGCTATTGTTGTCTCATTACATTGGTCATCTCCTTTTGCTACGTCATTGTATGTAAATTTATAAAGCGATATTTGGGTCATAATGGTCTGAAAAGCTCGCAGGAGCTGTCTCGAAAGCTGAGAACTTGCGGCAAAATAACCACTGGGGCGCTGACTTTGAGGTAATACTGTTTGTCACATTCATTTGTCCTGAAGTGCTGGTACAGCAAGTGTCCCATTTAAGTGAACCAACTGTTACAGTAAGTTACCTCACGTGCAGCCTTCAATGTTTCAATGTTTCAGCAATTTCAACATTCATTCATTTGTTAGTAACACTTCATGCCAGCCAAGTACAAAAGTGAAGCACAACACCATGAGGCCTGGTTGTGATCAAAGCGAAGATGTTATGAAAAGTGAGTGTCATTGTGTCATTCGTGTCATTCCACACATCTAATCTCAATGCCCAAAATGCTTGTTTGTCCTACTAGGCACAAGATTGATGAACACTTATTGAAGGAAATCACACCTTATCTTGGATCTGGAAAGCCCACGGAGTAGGTGCAATAGGTGACAATAATGAGTCCATCTTGTCTGAAGGTAAGTGCTGTCATTTTACAGATGAGGATTTGGCCTTGATCATCCACAGCCTTGCATATCAAATGGTGCAAGTTGAGAGCACACACCAGCCAATGGGCTAAAGAGGTTGAGCTCCTGCAAGAGGAGATGCGCCGAGTCACAGAATTTCTTTCCTGGAATGCAGCATGGTGGGAGGAGCAGGCCGTTCACAGGACTGGCTTGACTACAGCAGAGTGGGAGGGTATGCAGGGATATGCCAGATGCCAGGCTGCGATGTGGAGGGCTATGCGAGACCGATTCCTAGCCCTGTGGAGTGTTGTACCAGTTCTCCTGCAGTTACCATCGCCTGTTGCCCCATAGGATGTTGATGCTTACATATTAACCTGTTTTGATGGCTTCTATTTGATGTATGAGAAGAGTAGGACACAACGACAAGATCAGGAACACAGATCCAGAACACTGCTCGAGATCTGGGCAAGATTGGGTAAGATCCGGGCAAGATTAGATAGTGCAAGGCCTGATGTCAGTGTGGTCTGTATGGTGATGCTTGAAGCTCAAACACTATCACACTGTAGTACAGTTATCTCAGGAGTGATGCTTAATATTGAGGATTAGATGCATTTATGCATAAAGGTGCATGTCAAATCAGACAGTTTTATACTTAAGCCCTATAAGTACAGGTGGATCTATGAACCACTTTATGTAGAATCCTCGATAGACATCCAGAGAATTGTAGAATTGAAGACCGCATGGTATGAACTGCATACCAAATATTGGGAGTAAGTGAGCACTAGTATGCACATCTTGTGCTTCAATGGGGGTGAACATTATGAATTTCAAGCGGTCTAGACAGAAATGGGATGTTGCGCCTGAGTCGATGATGGCTCCTTGTTTCTTAGCAGGTATGTTGATCTTCTTCACTATGTTTGCTAGATTTTGCTAGATCTGACATTCATACTGTTGTGGTAGTAGTTTGGTAGTTTTGGTCTACTGCATTGTTTTATGTGTCAGCCCATCGACCCTTCTATCCCTTCTATCCCTTCCATGGTTCCCGACCTCAAAGCCTTTGTACATGACAGGAGAGCCTTCACTTCTTTCATGGCACAGTTCCTACCCGATAACATTCCCTACCAACCTCCCTGGAACCCATGTAACGATCACAATTATTCACCTGATGACAGTGATACGCCCCTCACTTCTTGCTGATAGATGTGTCCAAGGTACAGTGGACCCAGATTGGGATCGAGAACTGTTCAAACATGGGCAGCTGCCCTTCCCAAGGGCAGTGGTTAGAGGAGATGAATACTCCAGTGTACTGAACATTGGTCAACAGATCTCCTACAAATGAACACAATAACTTGAGAACCCATTCAGCTGGTATAGGGTACTCGTGGTCATTGGTCAAGACAGATGTCATATCCCGTATTCCGGACCTACATCCGACAATATTCCCACACCTCATCCGGACCTTCGGACACCCTATTCACTCTATTCATGTCTCCAGTCCTCTACCCATCCGGATCCCTGCACCTCTGCACATCCACATCCGCGCATCCATGTCCAGATCCCTTTACCTCCGTACATCACACCTCCATACCTCTGCAGCTAGCCTGCATCATTCATCCTTTGTCCTATTGCCCTAATATCATATCCCGTATATCCACGCTTCTTGTCCGAACATCCGGTCCGGTCCGGTCCGGTCCGATCCGATATACGATAAGCTTCCTAATTCATTTCCTGTGCATATAACGTTGACACAGCCTATTCCTCTATTCGGTATTCCTTGTCCTCGGTATCTCGGTTATATTTACTACCGGAATGCTTACTGATCCGTTAACCTATGCTTCATTTCCGACTCGCGCTTGATAACTTTGCTTATGCTTCATACATAGCCTCGGACGCTTGCTTACTGATCTTTCCGTTATTTCCTTAGTATATAAACTCTTGTATATGTCCTGTAGTTCCTCAGTCTGAATATCATATTAGTCCTCGCACTAGATCTCACTCTAAGTCCTCATATCAGTTCTAGTCTATCAACTTAGTCAATATCCATCTCGGGCCTAGGGAGAAATTCCCTAGGCCAGAGCTCCGCTTATCCGCTTATCCGCTTATCCGCTTATCCGCTTATCCGCTTATCCGCTTATCCGCTTATCCGCTTATCCGCTCATCCGCTTATCCGCTCATCCGCTCATCCGCTCATCCGCTCATCCGCTCATCCGCTCATCTGCTCATCTGCTCATCCGATCCTCCGAAGTTTCCGGACGTTCGTCCGAAACTTTCCCGTGGTCCTCCGGACCTATTCTGCTTTGGACTTTGTCCTTGCAGCCTTTCCTCTGTTTGCTTCTACTTAGGACTTGTCCTAAGTAGCCATTACACGTATCCGTATCAGGACGAAACCTCATCGTAATTTCCGGAAGTTCCTCCGGAACTTTCCCGCACTCGTCCGGAAGTTACTTGTACTCGTCCGGAAAGTCCTTCCAAACTTTCCCGCGCTTCGGATGTCCTTGGACTTTCTTCGGACATCATTCTGAAATTAAGGGCACATACTCGGGTAAGGGGCGCAGCGCACGAGCTGAAGCCAAGCCCCTCGGAATCAGTCCTACCCTCTGTGCATGGTCTTAACAACAGACATCCATGGGCGATTGGAACCTCAATATCAACGACTCATGATGTGCCATGTATAGGTGGTGGCAATTACTAGAAAAATGTCAGATGTGATGCAATGGGGATAGAGATTGATGTACATAAAAATGTGTTGTGTGACCTCAGCGCAACCTTTATTGTGACTTTGGCATTCTCATGTGAGCAAAGATACCCAAATGTAGCTGGAGGGTGTGGAAGTATAGTCCCTCATGGAACAAACATTTCAGCACTCAAACACTCCTGGCACCAGATTGATTTCTTCTCCAATGTGTGCCATCTTTCTCTGATATTGTGATAGAGCATGTGCTTGCCCTGTGCATCAACCTCTGTGTGGAGAGAAAACCTGGTGTGGTTCAGGCATTTGAAGATGGGCCCATCAAAGCTAGGGTTTAAAGGCATGACAGGAAACTATGGGTACATCTATCAACCTTATGTTGCATCACTATATCCCCTCCCAGGAAGCTCTCACCTCTGCAACTGAGCCTGTGAAATGGGGCCATGCTAATATGTGAGGTCCCTCAGATAATCAGTGTCAGCATCTGGACCACAGAGAACCTCAACCACAGCCTATCCTCATATGGGGTGACATAGATGACACATGGGGTCCTTCTGACCCTGGATGTCAGAGCGGCCTGGATGTTGATCCCCAAGAACAGGCACCCTCTGTAGTTCTGTTTCCAGAGTCTGAACAAAACAGTGGACAGTTGCGAGGAGAAGATTGGCAGGTATTCTTAGTGTGGCACTGCAACAGAAATAAGAAGAGAGAGGAGAAAAACTCCAGCTCAATGGCAATCACATCTGAGCCATATGACGACAGTAGAGAACCAGGATTATCCTGCCAAAAAGACTGCAGTATCTGAATGGCAGCCCCAAGAGGAGTTTGATGACTTTCATTTATGCATCCGCATCTCAAAGAATGATATACCTTTGGTGTGGAGGGAATACAGTGCAACTACAAGGATTTACAACTCATTTCATAATGAGTGGGACCTGTGTGATGCATTGGATCCCACTAGCATTCCCAACAGCGACCAGGAGGTTGAATTTTTTACTCCTCCCGCTCCTCCCACCTTGCCACCGCCACCACCTCAACTGCCATTACTGTCCAGTTTCTTGCAGGATATCAAACAATACTTCAGTCACCATGAAATTGCCTCCTCATCAAAATACAGTCATGGCATCAAGCATTTTGTCTCAATATTGTATTTCCATCTCATATTCTGACTGGCAGGCTGCAGCATTGACATCTATGCCCTGAGGTAGATCAGCCATCTTTGAATCTTAGATCTGCAAGATAGAGTGGCTTCACCTATGCCAACTTGTTGGCGATGTAGGTGCAGATGTCACAACAATTCCAGATGCGCAGAAGGAGGTCATCACTTGTTTCATAGGTTACTTGGTTACATTGCTGGCATCTGAGTTGTCTAAAATCCCATTCAATCTCTGGGACCTAGGACCCGATCCTTCCCTGGCAGTCTTAAATGTGGGCATTCAAGTTTCCTATATGCAGCTTCCCCAGCAATGGCTCTACATAATAGAGCCAAGTCTATCAGCAAGTCTGGTCCCCTGGAAACTGATTGTCGCCAATGCTGCCTCTGCTCTGATGTGCCTCCAGTGTGACTGGGGGTCTGACATTACAAAGATCGCGCTCAACCTCCTTCAAAAAGGCATCCATTGCAAGACATTGCAAGCCATAGAAGTCGCACCTGACGCATATTGCCCACTTACAGAACTCCATTCATACTCACCAACTTACACGCTCTTTTCAAGGCCATTTACATGGATTATGTCGTATATGAACAACATCACCACAAATTCATGAATCAGCCTTGTGCAAGAGCCGCACTTCTCTATGGTGGGTATGGAGGCTGGCTCTGCATAGCTTTGGCTTCAATGATCTCCCCTCCATTGTGGAGGGAATCTCATGTAAAGCTGTTCCATTTGGCCTCATGTTGCCCATCAATGGTTAGACTTACTTCGATGATGAGCTGTCAGAGGAGGAGGAGGTTGATTTCATGTGCGGCATGTATTACACGGATAACAGTAAGTTTTTCTTTCTGACAATGGCACTATAGACAAGATCTCTTGGTGGCCCAGACCTCAAGCCTGGGCTGCCTCAGGGTTGAATGTGGGGTTCTGGTCCACGCAATGTGGAGATCAGTTCCAAAAATATCTCAACAACATCTGATAGGGTGTCTCCAGAATCCACAACACACCCATCAATTCAGAAAGTCTGGGAATCCGAATTTCCGGCAGTCTCCGTCCGGCTGCGTGCGGGTCTGTCCGGATCCGTCTGTGCACAACTTGTCAGTTCTTAACGTCGCATCACACAATGAGCTCATTTTTACGACTCGTTACTGTCTCAAACACAATATTAAGTTAGCAATATACCAGCCTTGCCTTGTCGGGTTACAGCTTTGTGTAGTTATAGATATGGTTTGGGCATTTGCCTGTCCTCCTCGTGCACCGGGCTGGCCGGCTTTCTTCCGCTACACTTTTGTGCTCACCTACTACCAATAACTGGCTTTCTCATCCTCCATCAAAGGTGCTACATTTATGTGCTTGCCTGCCAATTGCAATGGACTCAACTGTGAACCTTGCAGATTTGTTGCAGATTCTAAACTGTTACATATTTGTACTCGTGACTCACGAGGGTATCTCTGAAATAGTTCGGACCACATCTGTGCACTGCGCTGCAGTTCGGATGTTCGTGTAATGTATATATTAGTGTCATACTCCTTTGTTGCTCCTTTGCATACAAATTATAGTGCCGGACAGATCCAGCCGGACTCGGCCGGACGGACCCGGAAATTCGAATTCCTAGATGCCCTCCATCAATTATGATAACAGCCCAATGTCCACCACACAGTGGAAACATTCCCTTAAGTTCAATGCAGGTACCAAAAAAATGATGAAGAACATTGATGCTGCATGTTCCCAATTCCTCACTAATAACGCAACTGGTGAGTATGGTTTTTTGTCTCATTACTTGTGCATCTCTTTAAACGAGTTCCTGCTTAGTTTTTGCAGAGAATTAGCATGAAATTATTGTATTTGTGATTGCTAATGTACATCTTGGAACAATTGTAGTTGTAGTTGTAGTTGTACAAATGGTGATTGTATAAATTATGAGTCAATACTGTATAAATTATGTGATGCTTCCCCTCAATGGACAACCAAATGTGAGTCACAGTTCAGCCATGCATGGGCCACTCATCCGGCTGCTGTGAGCGGGCAATGAGTGGGTGATGGGCGGGCAATGGGTGGGTGATGATTGGGTGATTTATTTTATCTGCAGACAAAACTTGAAGTTTGTCATGACATTCTGTTGCCAGTATAAACTTCAAATGTTCAGGGGCATCTAATTGTTGGCCAAATCTTGATACTATCATTCCGAGTAATCTGCAACATGCATGTAATATGCAAAATGTTTAAAACACCTCAACGCACTGCTCAACTCACTTCAAAAAAATTCAGGCATATGTAGACTACTTATGTATGATGTACTGTCCAAGTAGAATGAAAAGTTCTTGTGTGTTGCAGCTGCAAGAGATGAAATAGTGGTAATTTGTAACCACACAGGAACATAAATCATCCAGATCCCATAGATCCTACAGGTATATTCACAAAGTTATACCTGGAGCATCACGATCACCTCGTCAAGATTCAAGAACACAATTTCAATAAAGGCCATCCTGTCATTTTAAGATGCTATAGAGGAAGAATTGACGATATGTATGAAAATGTGACAATGGATAGGAGAGTGTGTAACAAATTCAATCTCCTCTATGGCACACTCGGCAAGTGCACCAAGTCTTTGTGGCATTGTCATCTTCTTGTGCATCATTCTCACATCATTGAAACAATGGCACCAAACTGAAAACTGGACAAGCTATGTGATATAGCCGCGGCCTTGTGATTACCGCAGACTGGACTCAAGGCAGAGCTGCTCCAGCAAATTTTGTAGTTCTTTGATGGTCAACCTGAACTCAAGAAAAACCAGCAGTATGAGGGTTTGTTCAATCCCCCCATTCTCACAGGCAGCATGTTGAAACTGACAATAACACTATTGAGTCAGTACCGCTGTAACGAGACAACAATTGCTGGACACTTCTTGAAGTAAGTAATCAGCAATATAAAATGTTGTGGTCTTGTATGGCCTAGTCTGCTATACTTGTAGACAAGTGCGTTCAACCTGAGGGGTTAGCTATCTGGTATTAGTCCGAAAGTAGTGAAATGATAAGTGATCAAAAGTCCAAGTGCAGGAAACAAAGTCTGAAGGTATAACCATGAGTCTGATGCCAAAGCATTGGGTCTGATGTTTTCGGATTAGCAGACTAGCAGGTTTTGGGTGCGGGTTCAGCGGACTGCAGAAAATAGTGATAGTCAATGTTGGGAAAGTGAGCAGAGTGTGGAATATCGATAATGATGGGTGTTTTTGGATAGAAAGAGTGGTAATATTTGCAATGTCAACTAAGAACTATGAAATATCAGGTTTGACCACAAAGCATCAGGAAATGGCTCCCTACTACTTGGATGATGAATAATTCTCGAGGTCAGTCCAATATATATGTAACTACATAGAAATGCAGAACCCTAGGCAAAAGTAGCAGCAGAATATTTTGGATCCGAAGTACATGTAAATAAACATGAGGCACTGCAGACTATGGGAAAACATGTAATAGCACTGGCTACAATGTGAGTAATGTGCAAAATAATCAACTATGCACCTAGTGGGGCTAGCAAAACAGGACAGGACATGGATAGGACAAGTGCATGGGAAAATATTGGGTCCGATGCGGCCGAAATGTTGGGTCTGCTAGTCAAAGTGTTGGGTCTGCTGTCAAAGCATCAGATTGAGCAGGAAGTGATTATCATGCAATGGGCATTTGACATGAATCATGAATCAGCTGAATACAAGCCTAGCGCAAGCTCGAGTGCTACACCGCTGCGGCCAAAATGTCAGGTCCACTAGTCAAAGTGTTGGGTCCACTGTCAAAGTGTTGGATTGAGTGGAAAGTGATTATCGTGCAACAGGCATTTGATATGAATTGTGAATCAGCTGGATATGAACCTAGTGTGAGCTCAAGTGCTACACCATGCTTCAGCTTCAGCCTCCCCCTATTCTGAGTCCTCACTTTGTGCCAGCAGCCAGTAGTAGAGTAGATTTTCAAGTGGGTGCTGAGGTACAGATGTATGCATGCAGTTAACCTTATTCAGGACCATATCAGCAGTACAATCACAATAAATACATGAACCACAATACTTAATGATAATATATTGCTGTATTCAAAGCTTCAAGCTCAAGTTCGATGACTCAATGCCAACAAATCAAGAGCTGCGCAGTATGGAGAGTCAAAGTTGACTGTGCCGGTGCTATGCCGAGGTGTGACTTGACATGACCATATTTTGCAGATTAGCAGTCAGACCCTGAATTTTCTTGGCTTTCATCCGACACCACACCACAATGTCCTAAAAATGAGCAAAAATCAGATACATATAGAGGAGGTATGGATCTACAATACTCTAAATTTGTGGAAGATAATATGAAGTGGTTGACAAGTTACAAAAGATTTGCTGAAAAAGTTGCAGAGTACCTGGAATGATAGTACACTAGCAAGCATGTGGTCATCTGCAAAACTTGAAGTTTTGTCCAAAATTTTATGTGAAAATTAAATTTTAAATTGAAGCAGATGTGGAAAACCTTATCATATTTCTTATGCTTGTTGACATGAGTTCATGGTACCCTGTGATCAGTCAGACCTTACTCAGTTCTTTCGAGTTTCTCCAAACCCTGCATAGACAAAGTCTGAACACCCTCACATCATTCATAACAAAAAGACCCCAGGCTCTGCTCAACATGTTTGCTTCAGCTTAATCGTGCAATTATATTATTGAGCGGTATAAGTTTGATGACTCACTAGTTCCCCTCCACCTCATCCATGTTCCCATCTTGCAGTTCAGTGCCTTTGATGGTGTACTTTGTGGGTGAGTACTTCGATTATGCACAATATAATATAGCCCAACCTATGACAAGACATTCTGACTCATTTTATAGCCATGAGCTAGCCCACGACATGTGTTGGTGTTGTGTCATCATTGCTAGGGATGGTCATGGCATTGTTGCCAGGGGTGGTCACATTGGTCCTGTTGCTATCATGTGTTCGTGCATCTGTCCCGTTGACACTTGTTGACATGGTGCGGTCACAAACACTTGTTGGTGGTGGTGCTGGCATTGGTAGCTAAGCAGTTGCGAGAGGTGACAAGGTGCCCGCAGGTGGTGGTGGCACTTTGGGGTGTTCAATGGTGAGCCCAGGCATGATACTGCTCACCTCATCTCAGAGTCTAACCTCTTCAAACTCCTCTTCTCCTTCTCTCCCACAACAAGACATTCTGACTCATTCTATAGCCACGAGTAGGCTTTGCAGTTGTGTCATCGACTCATCATTGCTAGGGGTGGTTGTGACATTGTTGCTAGGGGTGGTCACATCAGTCCTGTCACTATCATGTGTTCGTGCATCCGTCCTATTAACACTTGTTGATGTGGTGCAGTCGTGAACGCTTGTTTGTGGTGGTGCTGGTGTTAGTGGCTGAGTGGTTGCAAGAGGTGATAAGCATATATTAACATTATTAACATTTTATAACCAACAGACTTGATAACTATATATTTAACTTGCTGCACAGGTCAGGATGTGGGTCCACAGTGCACTCGCTGCAAACACCCGCTGGCAGCTTCCACATGACTCCAGTAAACCGATACCATCATACCAGGTGACACCTCTGCCCTCTGCAAGTGGGTGTAGTATTCCTTGCTCTGTCATTGACAAACTTGCTAGTTCGTCAATGAGGACAGAACTGCTCCCAACATTCACATTAGCAGATGGACAGTGGATCTGTTGTCGCACTGATGGTACATGTAATGCTGTGGTAAAATTAATGTCAGCAATGTTTTAATACTGAATAATGTTGTTACCTGTGACACAACAACAACAACAACTAATAGAAACATTGTGGACAACACCACCTTGCTGAAAATACATCAATGCTGAACTTGGAGTGCTGCAATAGCCCTCAAAGTATGTATGGGAATAGTTGAGCATGTCCATTGGGTGTGGCTGCAACTCAGTCACAGTGCACACATAGTACCAATTCACGCAACTCTGTCACATGAGGATGGTTAAGATAGACTGTATCGGAGTGATAAGGGGGCATTACTAGTGCATAGTGCAAGTAACAATGAACCTTGCATGAGGTGGTTTGTATATGTAGACTCGAGAAGGGCAGTCTCTCGAGCCTCACTAAGGTTCACTGAGGAATCAATTTTAAAACATACTAAATAAATGAGACAGAGAGCACATACACGAAAAACCACATTGGCTTAGAGAACAATAACAAAATGCCATTGCATGGCCATAGTGATTGGTTTTGAATCGGACTGGAGTACGTTGCTCAGTCACAAGAGCACAGAAGCACTCCCAAATGATGCCACAATGTTGAATCCAATCTTTGAGGTTATGTGCAATGATGCGCTCCCTGGTGATCTTAAAAACAGGACTAAGACAACTCAGTGAACAAGGACAAAATAATAAGATCATGATGAATAATGCTATCTCAACTGTTTCAACCAGCTCACAAGAGAAGATAGATAGCTCCATGCTGGCATGCTGGAGGGCTCTAGAGGTACAGAAAACTCCTGCATATATAGGCATGACAGTGAAATATGGGAGAGAACGAAGGAGATGGTATGAGTGTCAAGTGTCTTCCTACTGTTCTTTTATAGCTGGCTCACCTCTCGAAAACAAACTCCAAGTCCATTACCACCTCCCTGCTGCATTTCTTGGTTCAATTCAAAGATCCAAGATGCTGCTAGTAGCTTGCTACCTATAGAGAAGGGGTAACCGGCTCTCTGTATCATATTCTAGGCCACATATTGACACTATTGAGACTACAAGTCAATAAAAATCATATGAGAGTGAGTGGGAGCAAATACTGGACCCTCCAATGTCACTATTGACCAGTCCTTTTAAGCACAAGTCTCATATTTCCCCCTGGTTGTGGACCAGAAAGGCTAGGTGCTGAGACTAGAAGCAGTAGAGAATATTAGCTAGTGGGAATATAGAGGGATGGACCAGATGTTATCTGCTAGACTAGTAGGACTTGGGTAGCAACACAGTGACAGTTGTCAAATACAGAGGATGATAACCTACACAGGAGCGAGAAATGGCGGCCTGAGCATTCGGAAAGTAACACAGACAGAAGATATTTGGTAGCTGGAAGAAAGTATGCACTCCGGAGTCCCATGAATCTCACACAGAGTCAAATTATTGCTGTTTGGCATGCCCAATCCATCCTTAGCGATGCAGGACTGTCAACATCTGATTTCAATCACTCACCACCTGGCACACCATCCGCATCTTCATGCACATCTCCTGTAGCATCTTCCTTCACCACCTTGATCAGCAATGAGCCCTCGCACGTTGTACAGGCCTTGAATTATATCCCACCCCTAGCACACCATTTCACTGTGGATGAAGTCTTACAAAAAGCTCACCATGTCAACCGACAGACAACAGCTGATGCCATAGTCGAGCATCCTTGTGGGGCAATTGTATAGAATATCCTCAGACTGAATCAAACATAGGCCAAGCAATTGCACATGTGTTTCCAATTTCTGTAGACTGTGATACTCATGAATTTGACAATCCTAAAGCATGCTTCCAGTACTCACTAGGTAATAGACATGGTGGCCAGAAAAAAGTCATTTGTCATTTCCTTCGAGGTAGTGATGGCCAACCTGTCCTCTGTAACAGAATTTCAACCTCTTGTGAGTGGCATTGTCTATCTGAGTCAGTTTTGCTCACTGACTTCACCAATATCATGCTTAGGTAAGGGGCTCAAGGCCTGCGCTGCTAATATCCATGTGTTCAATACTACACATTCATACACACACCATACACATGTCAGCAAGCTCATTGCTCCTCAGGCTGCATTTTACCCCTATGACGACACAGCAGAAAGGGAGGTTTTCATAAAAACTTTTGCATTCTTCTGTGCACTTCAAGAACATGGTTGTGCTTTCCGGACCACTGCTGACTTTATTGACTTTGTCAACATCAACATTGAGAATGAATACATTTTCAGGACTGCAGTGCAGAAATGTACTTCAACATCTTGTCCAGGGAAGCTCATCACACGGACTGACAGGTACAACCAACAATTCATCCAGTAAGTTCTATTGTAGCCATCCTACTGCCAACTAATTGAATCATGATGGTGGTAGATGTGAATATCATTCATCTGTTGATCAAGCACACCTCATTCTACGGAATCTTCAAGCATTACTCACCGACGATCTCGTGGCAATTGCTACCTATGAAGAAAATGCAGAGCATCATGGTTACAGGCCTCGTGTGCTATGCAATTTTGTTGCCTCACCAGTTGAGCATAAGCAGACTTGTGGTAAGGTGATATTTTTTTTCAACTTGAACTCTGATGTCATGACTTACATTCACCCAGCTTATTGGCATAGGAATGCAGCCGGCATGTTGGAATGAGGTAGTCTCCATAAATGGGGACATGACTGTAAAGAAAAGTTTGATATATATGTCCCTGTTGATGTGATTGCTGTACCCTGAATCATTGTTATTTGTTGCAACCCCCACTCGCACCCACCACCTGCTCCCATCAAAACACCTCCACCACTTATTAATCTATTCAAGTCACTACTCCTTGATATGGACTGGGAGCTTGCAGATGCAACTCCGAGACAAATTGTATGTGACTCTGGTTTCATGAAGGGACTCCGTACAGCTTTAGGCTGGACATCTCACCGAAGCCCCAATCTGACTAACCTTCACCTGTCCCTAGCAAACCTCAATCATGTTCATCAGCTCATCAAAAAATTTCATTATGAAAAATATCCTATGGGGACTGGTTTCGAAGGTAAGCTGTGTTTTAATGTAATACCCTAGCTCTGTCTCCAGCTGAAAGACAATTCAATCGTATTTCAAGGCGCAAGATTGCTTGTTGACAAGGATAACCAGCTTCCACATGATGCTCGTTATGTCCAGTGTGCGGAATCACACATACTCCCAGGCACTGACACTGAATTCCATCTTGTTATCTGCATGAGTCCTCTCATGTCACGCCATCTCCTGCTTGCACACCATGTGTCCATTAATATGTCTTTCAAATGTCTGCATGGTTGGCAGGAATTTGAGATTGAGGCATGGGATAACAACCATATGAGGTATATGTTTGTATTTTCTTTGCTTTGATTAATCTATACTAATCTTGAGTATTCTGCTAGCTCTTACTGGTGCATGAGCATTCATAACTTCGCAATCTGCACAGGCACATTTACTTCTCTTTCACCGCATATTTGCAATTGCTAGTGAAGATACAGGAATGCCAGTGTAGCACTCAGGCTCGCGCTGAGCACATATTCAGCTCATTCCCAATGCATGTCAAACACTCGAATCACTTTCCAATGTTATCTGACGCTTACCCGCTCAATCCGATGTTTATCCACTAACCCGACGCTAATCCGACGGACCCGATGTTTCCCGCGCATCGGACCCGATATTTTCCTGTGCACCTGTCCTCCCTATGTCCTGTCCTGTAGTATCTATCCCCACTAGGTGTGCAGTTATCAGTTTTCACACCGCTAACACTGTAGACCGTGTTTTTACATGTCCGCAGTACCACATGTCTTATTACATAGGACATTGGACCCGAAAATTACCGCTACTACTTTCACCTATAGCACTCCGAAATTCTACATAGACACTATATATTTTACATGCCTCCTACTTACTTATTTACCTTTCTACCTCTGAGTAGGAGGAGGTCATTAGATATTTGTAGTTCTTGGTTGAATTCTGCAAATATCATCCTTTCATTATCCGAAACACTCTGAAAACACTGACAGTAACCCACCATTCACTATCCTTGACATTCATTACAAACCCGACACTAATCCAAGGTAACCTGCTAACCCAAAACCCAAAAACATCGGACCCGACGTTTTTACCTTCGGACTCTGTTTCCCATGCTTCGGACTATCTTCCTTTAGTATCACTGATTATTCTAATACCTTACAGTGAACCCCTTGGGTCGAACACACTTGTCTACAAGTATAGCAGACTAGGCCGCGCAAGACCACAACATTATTATATTGCTGATTGCTTACTTTGTGTAGTGCCCAGCAATTTTTGTCTCGTTACACTGGTCTTGTTCAAACACATACATGGCAGCGGCTACAAGTCAGTAGTGGCAGATGCCCATATGGGCCAAGGTCTTGGTGTGTATCTATTATACTTTCCTTAATCTTGTGAAGGCTAATACAATTACGGTTAGGACTCAGGATGTTTGTATGGAACTTTGCGCAAACAATGAGACACCATGCATTTTTGAACCACATCGCCAGTTATGCCAACTCAACGCCTATGATCATCTTTGTCGGTTCTACCATTTGTGCATCGTCCATTTCAAGCAGAATGTTCTCGCCCTTCGAACACATGTTTCAAAAGACGTCTACATTACTATGTTAAGCCTTTCTGCATCAGAACCACAGCCAGATTTGCAAAGGACTTTTGACATCATCAAGCAGGGTGGTAGGAAAGCTCAAGGTAAGTCCCATAGTAGAGAATAATTGAATGTATAGTGACGAAACACAAGCATGGCGAAGGACAAGGTTGAAACTAACAAATTTGCATTGCCAGCACTATACCGTCCCACAAGCTTTATTACTGAAGATATATGGCGCGCATGTCCAGCTACCATGAACGGCAATGAGCAGGCTCACTGGAATGTTAACCGTGACAGCATGAACTTGACACTTCTAGGTGGCATTATGAAAGGACGAGCCTTTGATGACTGGGCAGCACAGAGCATTGATGTTCATGTGTCACTGGGCATTGGCACTCATGATCGTGATTCCACTCATGTTTACCATGCATCAAGAAGTATCACTCGTCAAGGTATGCATCTTCACTCGCACCATTCAATTTTTAACAACAATTTAGCTCTATCACAGCACTGCCACGTCACACAAAATAATGCAGTGGTACGACCCAGTGCAGACAATGGACACCAGGATGCACTACAGCAACCAGTGCCCCAAAGAATCACACCAGTACCATCCTACACACTTACTAATGCCCTTCACCCAGACATAAGAGGAGTACCAGAGTCATGTCTATGGCCAGCGCAGCATACTGTATACACTTATATCACTACACATCAAGTTGTGACCAGTGAGTTCGACGACTTGCTAGTTCCACTCCACCTCACCCATGTTCCCATCTCGCAGTTCAGTACCCTTGATGGTGCACTTCATGGGTGAGTACTTAGATTATGTACAATATAATGCAGCCTCGTTGTTTCAACCATGCTTGGGTGCCACTCAAACCTCAATCAACCCAACCTACAACAAGACATTCTGACCCATTCTACAGCTACAAGCAGGTTTCACATTTTCGAGGAATCAACTTGAAAATATATTCATTACTACATGCTAGGATACAAATGACACGACATCCAAAGACCAAGTACCATGTTAGCAATGAGAGTGGTACATATGGGAATAGTTTGGGAATTGTTATGCACTCAAATAGATCTGTTATGCAGAGCCCTAAGAGGGGTGTCGTCCGCTAACGTTCATGATGTAACCGGAAGGGTCCGGTATAGCGAGTGAGACTGGCGACGTCGAGTTGGCAGATATCACAGACACGCATGTCACGTGACTTCTAAGACGGCTGTCTGTGAAGTCACTGAAGTCAAAGGGAGGACAGTCTTGTCCTAACGATGACCATCAATCAAGGTGGACTTAGATGCAATGAGCACCTAAGAAAGTTGTACTAGAGACAAGAGCTGAGAGGCTCTTGAAGGAAGTAGTTTCAAGGGAAGATTGAGTAGATTCAAGTTAGGGAATCTAATACAAGATGACCAACTACTTATACTAAGTGGAAAGAGTTGAGGGCTGGGTTACCGTACTGTAGGTAAGGGGAAACGGGAAACGGAAAGGGTATAGGTACGTTGGCAACACAGCCTGATTAGTGATGAGAGGTCGAATGCAGAATGAGACCGATGAACGTTGGACTGGGCCAATGGTAGAGTTACAATGCACAGCAGGTGCGAGTCAAGGGAGACAAGAAGGGAAAGCCACATTGGTGGCACGAGTCTGGACGAGTCATGGTGCCAAGGCACGTGCGCACATTGGTGCGTTATCAGAGATAAGGTGGATGATGGGGTGGAGACGAGGGACGGGAACGGTCCCAAGAATCCAGTCAATGGATATCCAGTAGAGGAGGACGAGCCGGTAGATGGTGAGGGCGAGGATGAAGGGAAAATGATAGGGGGGCCACATGACCGATGTTACTTGTAACAGGAATGGTATGAAGTTGAGGGAGACATTGATGAGAGGAAGACAGCGACAATAGATGTCATGGAGGAGCAAGCACACACAAAGTGAGGATATTTAGACTTCAAAAATGTGATGAAGAGACTCGGAAGATCAAACCGACTGAGTAAGGGAAGGTAATTTGAAACATGCCTGAGGCCGTTCGTGTTGGAATCCAAGAGAGCCAACTCGAAAGGAGAGAAAGTTGAAGGAGAGTGGGACATAGAGAGCGAGTGCATCCAAATGGGCGATGGCGAGCAACACGTCAACGTCGGCTCGCACCTTACAATGTTTCAGTTTATTTTCTTGTATATCAAAGTCCTGATGCACTCACCTTATAAGCCCCAGTCGCAACATCAAAACTAACACTTTGTAGCATTTATCTACCACTCTGATGTTGAATAGATTCGCACCTTTGTATGGGTACAGAGTTTGTTAGTAGAGTCTTCTACACGAATACTGAGATATTCGCACTGTTGTATAGCCTTCATGCCTCCCTTTTGATGTGAACTCCAATAGTTCGTTATATACCGCTCGATAATAATTGCACGATTAAGCTGAAGTGAACGTGTCGAGCAGAGCCTGGGGTCTTTTTGTTGTGAATGATGTGAGGGTGTTTAGACTTTGTCTATGCAGGGTTTGGAGAAACTCGAAAGAACCGAGTGAGGTCCGACTGATAACAAGGTACCAGAAACTGTGTTGACATATAGTCTGTGGGAATTAGACTGGTAAATCTGGGTTTGAATTTGGATAGTGCGCGGGTTCGTCAGGTGACGTGACAGATAAGTTCTTTTTGGGACAGTAGCTAAGTTCATGTACTTTGTTCGATCATACATTATCATGATGTTCTGTCGCTTATCGACAAGTTGTCGTCTCTGAAAACGACCAGTACTCTTTTCAGCTGCTGCAGTGCAGCATTTCATTTGAATTCAAGCTCTATTTATGATCCATACTCTATTGAACTGAATCAGCCTCTTCAAAACACTCTGCTGTTCGGACTTTCTCCTCCAAGTCGAAGAAAAGATGACCGAAAGATGGCCCAACAATGAAGGGGATGAAAATGAACAATTTATCTGGCGAAACAATTAAATGGTTGAACTTCCCAGTATGAATTGACTGTTGATTGAAAACATGAGTTAAAGTATCCCCTTACACAGCGAAATCAACAGCTTTTCATGTTGGGTGTACCTGCCATAGTGATGCATCATTTGGAGTGTCCTCGTTGATAGATATTGTAGATATGCCATATTTCAGACACTCTTTCACCTGGTGAGCTCTTTGTCGCACTCAGTACCTAAAAAGCCAAATTTTGGTCTGACCTGGGTAATCTGGAGGTGTTTCAGTGGTGAAATCGTCATACTGATGGTGTCAGGACGGAGGATAATTGGCAGGATGAGACACAGTGTCTTCCCACAGCCTGTACCTGCTGTTATTACACTGTCACGGCCGTTGAGTGTTGCAAGAGCAGCCTCCAGTTGAAACTCTTGTGGCACAATCAAAGTTGCTGTAAGGATGTACACAAGCAAGCAAGCACGAAGTGCATCTGTTCTGTCTGTGTTACTCAGTGATTTGATGTAGTCAGTAGGAAGCCGTTCTCCTATCAGCAAGCAAGCAAAGGAATCTAGACCATCTAATGATGCTTGTCGCACTGCTTGAATGACAGCATTCACATCCATTGAAGTTGTAGCACAGATACATGCATTTGATGTGTCGCGTCGCGTCAAATTTCAAAATTTCAAAATTTCAAACAATAATTTTAGTATTCACGTCAAAATTTTCAGTTTTCCCATTGGCTACAGATCACATTACCTGACGAACCCGCGCACTATCCAAATTCAAACCCAGATTTACCAGTCTGTCTAATCGACGGCTTGCCTCATTAGACAGACTGGTCATGAGTCTACATGGGAATATGGTTGCTGATACTTGATATTTTGGATTATGCACAAAACATTGCTAAATTTTGAAGTCTTGTACCTATCTTTATGTTGATTTAAATTCTTCGCATTTTGTATAACATATAAACCTTTCCTAAATATCGACAACCCCGATGTGTGATGCATCAAGGCTACTGGAACTGGTGACCGAACCGGACCACGGCAGCACTAGTATCATATCGATATTGTGAAATTGAGACTCAGCTGTCGGCGGCGTCTACTATGCCGACATTACAACATCCTTCAAATTTAGGCCTGGTCAATTCTAAAATGTCGTTGTCAGTGTGGGCTTGACCTTACAGCCATCCTCTCGTAAATTACTTACGCGGACCCTAAACCTTTCCTGATTTGGCCGCTACCGCGTCGGTCAAAAAACTACTCAAAAGCCGCCCGAGCAAAACAGACACCTAGTAGACTACAGCTTTATCATGGATAAAAGGTTTGACAGGACATTTAACAATAAACATGAAGACGCTTAGGAACATTATTACTACTACATGGGAAGGTTTAGGCAGCTAACTTGGACTCTATACAGCAAGGATTAGGACGAGGATACTCTGCGATAAGGTGTAGAATGTCTCCCATGCCACGAAGGTTTAACCGACACGGTAGCGGCCAAATCAGGAAAGGTTTAGGGTCCGCGGCGTAAGTAATTTACGAGAGGACAGTGGCCGCAAGGTCAAGTCCACATTGACAACGACAAAATGTTTTAGAATTGACCAGGACTTATTGGCCTTACCTCAAGTTACCGAACAAGTCAGCCGGGACTAGCACATATAGGCCGGTAAATAGTATGCTATAAAAGATGGTCAGTTTTCTCTCTCACATAACTGAGCAGCTTCACCCATACAGTCTTGTGGGTAGCCTTTTCACTCCCCGAAGCTCAAACCTCTGCGGTCCACTGCAAACTTATTCCAATTATGGCTCTCCATCAAAGAAGACAACATGTCGTGCCCGATAGAGTGGTCGAGTCTTCAGCTAACCAGGCTGCTACTCCAGTCCACAACTTAGATTCAGACGCACCTGTTCCCTCATTCCCTAAGAAATCGTCGGACACATCCACCTCCATAAGAAATGAGGTTGCCGTTCATTTTGAGCAGGCATTTCTACACCTCATGAAACGGCAAGTGTCTCGTGGTGATTTGCATAAATTATCTGATTCGACAGTATGTTATTTCCCTGTCAGCCGTCAAGATGAAGGAATCAAGGACCGCCAACTTGGTGTTATTTTTAAAGAATTGCGTGTCGTTGGTGCACGTTCCCGTACTTCGCTCCAGCCCACTGTCGGCTCACCTTTCTATCCTTCAACGTTTCTGCGTAAGATAAGGGAAATTCGACACCCCTCCATCAGAGACATCTTATCCGGGTTCGAGGGCGTGGTCACTCCTGGCGAAATGCTTTGTAAGCCCGCATCCTTCTTTGGCCTCCAGTCTTGACCCTCGGTATAGTGGTTCTTGGCCGTCCCGGCTCCGGGTGTTCGACCTTTCTCAAGACAATCGCTAACCAATGTGGGGAGTATCATGCTGTCGAGGGTCAAGTTTTCTATGATGCATTCACCCCAAAGGAGATTCATGACTCCTTTCGTGGCGATGTCACTTACTGCCCGGAAGATGATACCCACTTCCCGACCCTGACTGTCAACCAAACGCTCTCTTTCGCTGTTAGCAATCGTACTCCCGCAACATGTCTTCTCGGCCAGACGCGCAAAGATCATGTCGAGGATACTACCACGATGCTAATGAAAGTCCTTGGCCTCTACGGCTCGAAAAACACTTTGGTCGGTAATGCTCAGATTCAAGGTATTTCTGGTGGCGAGAGAAAGCGAGTTTCTATCGCAGAAATATTAGGCTCTGTAAGCCCGCTTGGTACATGGGACAAGTAAGCGCTTTCATTTAAGTTTATATTTGTCTGACTTTCTTCTCATCCAGTTCCACTCGTGGACTAGACTCCTCGACTGCCCTTGATTTTGTTCGCACGTTGCGTTTCATCACAGATGTCAGACGCACAACGACAATTCTCTCTCTCTACCAGGCAGGCGAGCAAATATATGAATTGTTTGACAAGGTCTGTATTATTGATGAAGGAAAGATGGCCTATTTCGGTTCGGCAAAGTCGGCCAAAGGTTATTTCATCGATATGGGTTTCGAACCACAAAACAGGCAGACCACCCCCGATTTTCTGGTTGCAGGTATGTCATTCCAGTTTACTTAGATTGCCCAATAACCATTTTTGTCAGTCACGGACGCAAACGGGAGGCAAATTCGTCCTGGATATGAGAACACTGTCCCGCGGACATCAGCGGAGCTTGCTAGCCGTTTCATGGCTTCCGACCTCGGACATCAGAATCGGAAAGCGATCGAACAGCGCCGAGAGCAATGTGTTGGTAATCACGAACACAAGCAAGCCTATCTTTCTAGCGTGACCACTGAAGGTGCCACCACAACTTCTGCGTATATTACTTCTATTCCCTATCAAATCAAAACGGTCATGAAGCGCCACCTGCAAGTTATTATTGGTAATAAGTTCCAGCTCTTCGTTCAACTGACGTAGGTTACATTCTTCCTTTTCCAACCCTCAGTAACATTGGGTGATAGCTCCCAGGTCTTCCAAGCGATATTTACGGGCACCGTCTTCCTGAACGTACCAAACGACACCTCCGCCTATTTTTCTCGTGGAAGTATCCTGTTCTTGTAAGTTTCTTCCCTTGTCATTATTCAAGTTGTAACTCGGGGCTCTGTTAGCTCCCTGTTATTTAGTGCCATTACAGCGGTTGCGGAAGTCCCTGCACTTTTTCTACAGCGTCCTATCGTGCTTCGTCACCAGAAAGCTGCGTTACATTACCCTTTTATTCAGAGCCTGGCGCATACTATCGTTGATATTCCGATCACTTTGGTCATTCAACTAGTTTTCGCTGTAATTGTTTACCTCCTGGTTGGGTTGCAACGTTCTGCCGCACAATTTTTGTAAGCTTCATGCTGTCTGTCTTGGCTGGCTGTAATGCTCACTCTGCAGCACAATAGCATTTTTTACTTTTTCATCTTCTTAACATCGCAAACCATGAAGTCATTGTTCAGAGCTATTGCTGCAAGTTCCAAAACTCGTCTGAGTGCAATAGCTGTTAGCGGTGTCTTCGTTCTTTTGATATCGCTCTCTGGCGGGTACACAATTCCTTGGCCAACTGCTCCAAAGGGCATACGGTGGATCATGTGGTTGAACGTGCGTCATCCCTTACAGGGCACATCTTTTGCTTAGTATCAACCTTGCTATTTTAGCCAGTGTGGTGGGGTTTTGGTTCACTTCTTGTCAACGAGTTCCACACGCTCCACGGAGTTTGCTCCACTCTTGTTCCTCAGGGTTCTGGCTATGAGAACATTTCACTTGTAAATCAGGTTTGTACAACAGTCGGATCGCAGCCCGGGAATCTTCTCGTTGATGGCAACATCTATGTTGGATTGACGTTTAACTTTTGGTATGGTCATCTCTGGAGGGTAGGCCGGTCACGTACTTTGTGAATAGCTCATGACACTACCTCAGAATTTCGGTGTCATTTGTGCTTTCTACCTTGGGTTCTTGGCAATTCTTCTGGTTGCCACAGAATACAATACTTCCTCCGATTTCGACGGCGCTGTCGTTCTCTTCAAGCATGGCTCTGATGCTATTGATGGAAATGCCAAAGCACTTCACGAGGAAGAAGGAGATATAGAGTTTCGCTCTGGATATCAGCCCAAGGCGGCTGATCCCTTGACTTTCGACAGTCCCGACGGGAACATCGTGGTTCCGAATTACTTCACGTGGCATCACCTGCAGTGTGAAGTCCCTATTGAGGGAGGTATGAAACGCCTTCTTGATGATGTCACAGGCTTTGTTGCCCCTGGGAAACTTACTGCTTTGATGGGTGGATCTGGTGTTGGAAAGGTATGACTTCTCACGTACGAGTCGCGTATGCTGTTTACCTGAGTGCTTGTAGACCACACTTTTAAACGTTCTTGCACAACGCATTGGTGCTGGTGTGGTGAGTGGTGACCGGTTTGTTAACGGAGAGCCGCTCCCCATAGACTTCGAAGCTCAGATGCAAGTGTTTTTCTGATTTGTGGTGAGCTTGCCTGATTGTCGTGCTTAGTGGTTACTGCCAACAACTCGATACTCACCTTCCCAATGCAACTGTTCGTGAAGCGCTCCTTTTCTCTGCTAATCTTCGCCAGCCACAATCAGTCCCTCATGCTGAGAAGGAGGCATAGTGCGTGCAATTTATGCCTATAATCTATCTCCACTTACATTTCCATTTTAGCGTCGGCAAGTGCCTTCAGATGTGTGGCCTTGAGGCGTACGCCGATGCTATTGTTGGCTCTCTTGGGGTTGAGCATCGGAAACGCACTACTATCGCAGTGGAACTCGCTGCTAAGGTAGGACGCAAACCCCTCAGGGTGAAGTTATACTCAAGCACAATAGCCCAAACTGCTACTCTTCTTGGATGAGCCCACGTCTGGTCTTGACTCGCAATCTGCCTGGGCTATCGTGCAGTTCCTTCGTGAACTCGCTGGTCATGGCCAGGCCATTCTCTGCACGTGAGTACCATTTCTGCCTGTAGGTTTCCCGCTGCTCACGAACTATATATACCAGGATCCATCAACCTTCAGCGGAGCTCTTCCAGGTCTTCGACAGATTGTTGCTCCTTTACAAGGGTGGACGAACCGTCTACTTTGGCGACATTGGCGAGAACTCGTCAGTCATGCTGAACTACTTTGAGTCTAATGGTGCTCCACGCGGTGGCCCTGACGCCAACCCGTAAGCAAGATGCAATCATACCAGGTCTGGCGCTTATCAGTACGTTCAAGGGCGGAATATATGCTCGATGTGATAGGTGCTGGAGCAACTGTCTCCACTACTGATTGGTGCGATGTCTGGAAACGCTCATCAGAAGCGGTACAGCTCCAAGTTCAGATCGAGAGGATGCATGAACATGGCCGTACTCGCCCACGACAGCTTAGCGTCCGGAAATCTGTCTTTGCCACCTCATGGTGGCACCAGTTCGTTGCCCTCACACAACGGAACTTCCGAGCATACTGGCGCACTCCTACCTACATCCGCGCCAAGTTTCTGCTTAACATTGCTGGTGGTCTTCTTATGGGCTTTACATTCTTCCAGGCAAATGACTCTTTACAGGGTACCCAAAACAAGTTGTTCGTGAGTATACCATTAGGATTCCTCGTTCAATGTCATTTACACATTTTTAGTCGATCTTCATGGGTCTTGTGCTTTGTGTTTCCCTCGGCCATCAGCTCATGGCCGTCTACATTGACATCCGCATCGTGTACGAAATCCGTGAACGTTCCAGTAGAATGTATCACTGGACTGCTCTCGTCATGTCACAGCTTGTTGTTGAACTTCCTTGGAACATTACAAGTGCGGCGATGTTCTTTTTCTGCTGGTACTGGACCGTTGGATACCCCACAGAACGAGCAGGCTACACGTTCCTCATGATCTCTGTCGCCTTTCCGTTGTACTATACCACGCTTGGACATGCCATCGCGTCGATGGCGCCAACCGCTCCGATTGCATCTCTGTACCTCGTAACTCTTTTTATATTCCTTCTAATTTTGTGAGACGCACGCTTTGAACTGCGCTACATCATATTGACGATACATCAGTGATGGCGTAATGCAGCCATTCATCGAGCTTAACTGGTGGAAATGGACGTACAGGGTCTCTCCTTTCGCATATATCATCGAGGGTCTACTTGGTCAAGGTTTGTTAACTATTTCTTGCTGCGTAATCGTTATGCATCTGAGCCCTCGCAGCTATTGGCGGGGAAGCTATTACCTGCTCTTACACAGAACTAGTCCGTGTCAACCCCCCGGATGAATTAACGTGCGGCAAGTACATGGGGCCCTTCATGGAATTAGCGGGCGGCTACCTCACGAACCCCGAAGCTGCAGAAGGCTGTCAGTACTGTCCATACAAGACTGCTGACCAGTACATGTACTCGAGGTTCAACATCAAAGACAGTGATCATTGGCGCAACCTGGGCATCGTCTTCGGATTCGTCACATTCAATGTGAGCCACTGTCCGATGTTCCTTGAATCTCACGCTCACATGTACCATCCATCTATAGATTATTGCTGTTTTCTGGTTCACATATTTTATGCGCATTCGAACTGTCGGCGTGTTTACTTCTCTTAGACAAAAGTTAACTCGCGGCACGTAGATTGTGGTTCATGCATATATACGACATACTTCGAGAAGGTGCTTAAAGGTGACCATGTACGCACTAGCAAAGGATCACTTGCAATCTACCGTATTGAATATGCTCATACTACCTTTCCAGTTTCAGAGCCCCAATGATGTACAATGTAACAAATTGCCGACAAATACAGAAGGTCTTGGATCGTGGTAGTGGAAACTATCGGCGGGACACAGCATTGAATTCGTACTTATCACATCAAACTTCTTACTAGCAGTATAGCTCAAATAATATTTACTTCCTCATACCTAGACAACAACGTTCTTCGCAAGAAATTCGGACCACTCCTTTTCTCCCCAAGAACTAGAGATTTGATTGGCAATCAAACCGTCCCAAAGGACAGTGGGAGAAACATGTACGCCATTCTGCCTGGCGAACTTGACTGCGCGATGACAGGTATGAGACCCCAAACCACAACAACAACGTGAAGACGCACTAGTGTACTTAAGATCATCTGTAACGCCAATTCCGCCATTCGGAGAAGGCTTCAACTTCAGAAGATCTTTGAACATCACCAACTGCTCCTCTGTGATTACTTGGGCAGCGATGTTGGCCAATTTCTCGCGAATTTGCAGGGGAGTCATGTTGGATGAGGGACCATCGAAGAATTCACCCTGTTGCTTGAAAAGCTGTGTATCAAGTTGATTTAGTTTGGTAGATGTCACTTCGACTTTGGTGGTTACAAGTGATGCTTACTGCAAGAGAGAATGTCCAGAATTGCTCTGGAGCAGCACGTACAACCTAGATCAGATCACCTTACGATCATTCTAATGGTATCAATTTAAAGCACTTACAGCAAGTCCAGCTTCATGAGTGTAGGTTGAAGTTGCATGCCAAGGCTGGACTTGGAGCCTCATGATAACTTTTACTTTGCCATAATATAAACCTCCCACGTCGACCAAAGGCTTCAAAACATTGTCGATTGCAAACGATAACTTTGCGCTGTACGATTATCAGTATTAGTGATGTAGCTCTTCGTATCGATGTATGTGGATATCAACCTGAATGGACAAACGTAGTCCACTGGACCCTCTCGTTGATTAGCTATAAGGCACTTGACCAATTTATTGGCTCACGGAAGATATCAAGGGTATGCGGGGCGTCGTGAGCGCCTGCAATAATAGTAGGTCTAAGGGAGGGTTGAAGAGCCATGATACTCGAGTGCTGACACGTTGAAGGTCAATGTCCAAGATATTATGGAAAGCGGGAGTGATCAGCTTCGGCGAGAGTGATCAGCTGGACTAAAAAGGCATTTGTTTGGCTCTTCTCCTGCCAGACCCCCAATCACCCACTGAACGCGATGAAGAATTTACCGACTACACTCATAAATGTGGCTGTGCGTACAGAATGAGGTTAAGACATTGTATTGACGTGGTGCCTAAGATCTCTTGCCTTGCAAATTTGACATGAGAAATCATCACTCGCACATAGACTTGCATCAAATGGTGATATCAAAGGCCCTTGCTTGCTTCGACGAGCCTCTAGTAGCACTAATATTTGAATCTGACGGTTCAGAAATTTAAATCCAAACCCCCCAAAAAATCCACCATCATCATGTATGCTGCAGAGTTCACCACAAATGCTGACCAGCACTATTGCGAGTATGCCAACTGTTTTAGCGGTCATCCTGGCACTGTACCTGCTATCACCTATATTGAGCACAAAGATCCGAGCAAGCCTGGTAAATGGCTTTGTGAAAAATGCAGCCGATACCAGCGCTCCAAGTTCACTACCAAGAAAATAAGTGATGCAGGTAAAATAATTGCTCGGTGTGCAGACTTTGTCACATTACAGTCTGACAATAATTTTCTTTAGTAATTCCAAATACCTCGAAGCATGGTTTCGGCCAGTCCAAATATGATGGTGCTGCAGTTCACAAGCAGACTGCAGAGGCGCAGCGTGGAAGTGAGTCGCCCAGTACAGTTGCATTTTATATTGAATACAAACCTTCATTTATTTTTGTAGAATCCCAACTTCCTGTTCGTGCAGTGGGGCTTAGTGTATCATGTGGGATGCCTCCACCTGCATTCATCCCAGGTCCCATTCACCCGAGGCGCGCCTCAGCAAATCATCAATTTGTTCCTTTACCCAACTGGCCTGCAGCTCCTGGCCCCTCAGACATCCGCCGTGCAAATCCATTAGGGCCCAACATATCTATTTATGGTCGGGATGCTCAGTTTATTGTGTACTCAGACCTTCTTCGAACTCTGCCACTCAAGCCTGGTTATCAAGATGCGCATAAAATTTATGAAGAGATGCGAGACCAGCTTGCTCGACAGGCCTATGCTTTGAGTGTTCCCGAAGTGGTATGTGTCAAGGCATACCTTGCAGTGATGATTCCACGGGCTAAAAAACCAACTCTGATATCTGTAAGTGTTGCTCTCTACAATTCTGAATTCAACTTCACCAACTTTGCTGAATCTTCTATAGGATATAGTCGAGTCGATCAGCAACATCCCTTACCGCATTGGTGCCAATGACCTTAAAACTTCGGTGTACCTCACCCTACTTCCCATGTTCATCAAGTGGTCCATGGGTCTTACTTTTACGTTTGAAGAGGCACGTTTGCGTCTTGTTAGTAGTTTCGAGGAGATTCTTCCCCGTCCATCTGGAGAAGACATCAATGCCATAGCATCCCACTTCCTCAAGACCAGGAACACGAAGCAGCAGTTCAACGCTGGCAAGGGGATCGAACTTCACCTCATTATTCCACATACGAAGTTCCTTGCCGCTGAGCAAAGGCGAAATGGTGAGGAAGTAGCTGAGTCCAAGTCTCGTGATGTTCGTTTTCAACATGGACTATTGGTACCTTGCATGACTGACAGAATACATAAACCAGGATACACCTCACGCAACAGCGGCAAGTTCATCTGACATCCAACATCTTTCAAGTCCTGCATTAGTACTATCTGTGGTGTCCCCATCAAAAAATTTGCAAAATGGTGCCCAATGACATATGCAAGGAAGTGATGCATACTTTTGCAGCGTGTTGTGAATGTCATATAGTCCCCTAGTGACACCTTCCTCCAGGATATTCTCGAAACCTGGAGCAAAGTCCCTGCGAAGCACAGACCACATGATTTCGGGCTTGATGTTCTGGTGCTTTCGCATCCAGCGGTGCTGAAGTGTTCCGTTGAGTGCTGGATCTAGGCGGTGTCGAATCATTGTTTGTGCGTTGGCAACAGCAAAATTTTCGGAGCCTGGATCGCTCTGAGTGATCAAAGGTACAGCTGAGATCACAAAAAAAAAATGACATGATCAATGTCCGATCAATGTGAGGGGCTTGGTGACATACCTCCGAGTTTTCGGCAACAGTCAAGGTAGTATCTAGCAATAAGGCGTGGATTCTTGTTGGTCCACCAAACTTTCAGCCAATTAATCCAGCCGGTGAATGGATCGAGGCTGATATGCAGCCATAACCCAAAGCGCAGCCATTTGTCGTGCTGGTCTTGGGGCCAGACATCATTAACCCCCGCACACCAAAAACGCCTCCGTTTGAGACGTCCACGACGCCTAGCTTCCACAGCAGTTGGCTCTGTGATCTTGAGAAGCTTGGCGATCAGTTCGCTGTTCAAACATCGATTTATAGTGAACAGTACTAGCAAGTAGACAGCAACTCACCGGGGTACGTGAAAGCTGAACTGCTGGCGCAGGTCTCGTCTGATGGCCTCGGCACCTCGGTGGGGAAATCGTTGTCGAATCTCCCGGACATGCTGTTCGATGGACTCGAGAGTATGTTGTTGTTGCCTGGTCCGTTTCCAGCCCCAGCTATTTCGCATCCGACGAAAGCTGACAACGCTAGCATGATAAATTAGTTGAAGTAGTTGCACTGGACATATGTAAGACACGAACCTGAGTCCATATTCCTCCTGGTCATAATGGTCTTTGAGGTGGTGCACGATGTCAACATCACTCATGTTGAGCTTGAAATAAAACTGAGCCGGATCTTGTATTTCCCTGGCAGGAGCTATGCTCGCTCAAAAATAAGTGAAACTGGCAGTGATTCAGGCTTAACACTCACGACATGGCTTATGCTGGTTGGTGCGCCGAGAACGATCAGTCATAATGTTGGGAGCACGATCCTGCACTCGTCAACTTGAACGTTCGAGTTGTTTTGAATTCCGTCACAGATTGCGCTGTCATTGCATTAAGGTACGATCAGCACCTGAGTTACTATCGGTAACCATTGGAGGACTCACAATTTGACAAGCAATACATCTTGAATATATCACTAGAAACATTAATATTAAGTCTCTCTCAAGCAGTGGTTGGGGGTCTGACAGGTAAAAGCCAAACAAACACGCTTAGCGAAGCTGATACGAAGCTGATCACTCCCGCTTTCCATAAGATATCACTCTCGGGCTGCCGAGGTCAATTGATATTTAGGAGTTATCTACCACGTGATCGTAAACGTTCCAACTTTAACTTCAAGTTCAACGTCAAGAGCCTCAAATTTGCTACTCGAGGTGAGTATCCCAATTGTTGCGTCTTTCACTTTGACCGCAGAAAATAAACAAGCCTAGCAGAAAATCAGAGATAGCACCAAGATTTGCTAATAGTCACGTTGGCCAGTCCTTCGTACATTATCAACCTAAAAACATGGCGATGACCTTCTCGACCTTCATTATGACCCTCGCCGAGACAATACAGTCAGAGAATGGACCTAACTTGGCCTATCTTTTGCGCCCAACCAGTCCTCATGGGAAGGATCTCGTCAAGGAGTTTCGTAATCCTACAGTGCGTCTTTGACCCTTTCGGAACACTGTCGACGTTCAGAGCGGATTTCCAGCGCGAAACACTGATGTCGCGTTACGGTGGATGTATTGAGAGCCCATGGGACGACATTGCTGTCAGATATGTTATGGTCACGACACATATCGCCCGAAAACGCGCTGGGGAGGCATTCAACGAGCAGTCGCAGCTTGTTTCGTGCGTATCTGTGTACTTGTAGACACCTCCTTAGCTCACTCGTACACAGCCAGTTCTTCCGTTACTTCATCAACAATACTGGATGGACACTTCCTGCGCTGTTCTCGATGTTGAGAGACTTACGAGATCTTGCCTTTGATGTGAGACATCCCGTTTCTACTTCTTGAACTCTCATTGAGTGCTGTAGGCCGACAATTACGCAAAATACAATAATCAGAAAAGTGAATGTATGGAGAGCGCTGCTGGCGTTGTTGTCAAGGCGTTCAGCAACTGCATGACAGACAGGTACTGTACCTGTTAAGCTGTCCCCGTATTTTTGACAGGCGCCCAATACCTCGCTAGAACTTCACCACCGAACGAATCTCGTAAATGGGGAGTCTACTACGTTGTCGGGCTTGTACTAAAATGTTACTTCCGGGTCTGTCCTCCTTGTTCATTTGGCGCTTGCATTGCCCACTGAAAATTCACAGGTCAAACGAATATCGTTGTCGAAAAATATTCTCAGAGCGCTCAACGCTAATCCCGATATACCACCTCTCTCAGAGTACCCACGTTCACATCAAGTACGTTCACATCATAGCACCTATTCCTGAGGACCACTTACGTCATGATTTGTAAGGTCACCTACCGCTACTACCTGGGCATGCTAAGTTTTCTAAATGAAGATTATAATAAAGTACGGGCCCAATCATGTTGCGACGCCACTCGGACTCAACGGTAGCAGTCCGAACAGGAACTAACACTAGCTTTTTACCAATGCTATATCCCGGCACATAGTAATCAGGAGTAAGCAATATTAATCATCGGCTGATGCTTGCAAATTGACGCCCGGGTAATAGACGAATACTGACGTATTTGCTCCCACTACGTGTTCTCCGTGGGCACCTCCCAACCAGAGACCTGATGGACAGGTTCCCTGTGCTTGACGAGTTGTTCACGCCCTTTATTGCTGCTATACGTGCTGGAGATATATCTGCGTACGATATAGCATTGGACAAGTGGGAACGGCGCCTGCTCGAGCTCAACCTGTGGTTGACGCTGGAACGAGCCAGAGAACTATGCATCAGAGGCCTGTTTAGACGCGTGTACGTAGACCACCGGCCGGTGAGCGATGACACGGAATATGCACTAACTACCTTGATTAAGCTGGGTGGCAACCGATCAAAGCACACGGATACCCGTCTCTATGTTCCACTGCTCGTTGCGATTAAAGGGGATCGAGGTTTCGATGGAGGAAGCTGAATGCTATGTTGCAAATATGATTTACCAGGGATATATGAGAGGTTATATCTCGCATGAGAAAAAGATGGTCGTGTTAGCTAGTGCTAATGCATTTCCCAGAGTAGCAGATCGTTTGGCACCATTACCCTAGATAATAATACAGGAACACAGCTGTCTTGTTGTATACGTGATATGGCTGTTCATCAGAAATGTCAGGCTGGACCAGGAGAACGCAACTCAGGAGCCGTGAGAGGAACAACATGGTACAGCACTGCAGCCTATGCACGACATAAATGGTGGCTTCTAGCAGTGGATCGCCAGTACTGTACACAGCAGAAGTATGCGATATTGATTTAGATTTCGATTAGCGGACGAATTCGGTAGGCGATGCGGTGCAATCGAATCACATGACCCTTTCGCTTGGTCAACCGGTCACCTTCCAGCTTCCACTGTCCGCTACCATCGACCATAACATGCCATTGGAGGTCACAAGCCAACTAAGTGGCAGGTACTCTTCACTGAAAAAGAATTTTCCATTCGTCCACATCTCAAACGCTATATAAGTGGAAAAAATTCTCCTGATTTTATTAGCTTCTATCACCTCGGTCCCACTCCCACAAGTGGTTACTAAATTTAATCTTCTAACGCTCGTCCCATAAATCCCTCCTCGCTTCCATACACACTCAAAGATAAACTACTATCATGGGAAACGGACCATCTAAGTCACGATTGCAATCTACTAGGGGACAACCTGGGGACTTCAATATTGATCATGTACAGAACAGCAAATCATCCCTTGCTGGGCACACTGCTGGCAGCTACCAATCAGCCCCGCCACCGTATACTACCTCTGCCACCTCAGAAACGCCCTGGTCTTCTGAAAATGACGCTCAAGGTATTCAGTTTCCTCCAAAGTCTTCGTCGCATCAATTTTAATTTGCAATCTCACACACAGCTTCTCGAGCAGCAGCCCGAGTGGCGTATCTCCGCCAACCTCTGCGTCAGGAATCATTGGAAGACGCACTTGAGACACTGCGCCAATATGACACAATTATCATCATGGACGATTCCTCGTCCATGGCTGGTTCGTTATGGAAGGAGGTATGATACTCATTACATTAGTCGTCGATGGTCCTGAAATCGTCATGTCCAGGCAAAACAGGCTCTTGGCGCACTTGCTGGTGTCGCGAGCCAATATGATGCCAATGGCGTCGACATCCACTTTTTGAACCATTACGGAAGCATGACAGGAGTTACAGTAGGTAGCTTATTTCTTACATCCCAAATTGGTATTGATCTCGTTTTGCAGGACTCCAAAGCTGTCCACGAACAATTCGCCAACCTCCAGCCTCGCGGCCCTACCCCTATTGGACATCGCCTCGACATAATCCTCGGCGATTATTTCCGTGACCTGGATGCTGCCAAAAGACAGGAGGATGCCGGTGACTATTTTGCGCGCAAGCAAATCAAGCCCGTGAATGTGATCATTATCACTGATGGGGCACCAAGTAAGTTCACACAACACCTAATAGCTGACTTTGCTGATCCGTTTGAGTAGCGGATGATCCCGAGAGTGTAATAGTCTCTTTTGCCAAGCGACTCGACGCCGATAAGTGGCCGCTTGCACAAGTGAATATACATTGCTTCTTTGCTGCGCTAGTTGCTGACCAAACTTTTGTATAGGTTGGAATACAGTTCGTTCAGATAGGGAGTTCAAGACGCGCAACCCAGTTCCTCGTAGAATTGGATGATAACTTGAAGCAGACACATCATATACGAGTATGTCGCAGGCTCACATCAAATTATTCTTTACTGAGAACTCGCCAGGACATCGTGGATACAACACCCTATATCGGTCAACTGAATGCTGAAATGCTCATCAAAATTCTCCTAGGTGGCATCAATCGCCGCGTGGATACCAAGGGTGGTGCTGCGGTCATGTATTAGGAAATAAATTTGGAATTGCAACGTGGCGAGACACTTTATCGTCACAAAATTCCCCAGTTCTACCTGCCAACAATCCTACCAGCACGAAGAGAGACACAGTCCAGAACAAATATTCGGAGATGTTACACCACTCGCACACGACGACGGAGATTGAACGACACATACCCTGTACCCTATCGCCTTTAGCTGACCTTAATTCGTGTCTGCACCAATGCGCGGACAACACATGACTTATGACATATAATTGGGTATTTTGTCTACTGTAGGGCATGGCACCAACGGCTGTAGAAAATACCATGTCATTCATGTACACTATGAGCCTCATAGCAAGTATTGAATATCGAATTACGAATCCCAATCTTCCAATGCAAACGCAAGAACTCCGAAAGCAGGTGCAGCTTTAGACGTACTTCCTGCCCAGGTCTCACTCCCCCTGCGAACAAAACGCACAACACCATCCAGGTCCGAGGACAGCTTCTCCAGATGATCAGGGAGATCACCCTCGTAGCTCATCACAGAGGCAGCCAGAGAGAACGAAGGCTCAGGTGCATCGCCCACCATCTCGTCGTCGTCATCGTCACTTTCATCATCTGAGACGATCTCCGGGGTAGAGAATCCAATGATGTCTCGACGAAGCCGTCTTTGGCGACGACTTCGGTGACGTTTTATAACGATAGAGAGCCGTGAGATATCATGGGTATTGTCACCTGAGAACGAGACGAAAATATTACTGAAATGCAGACACATGTCGAGTGCTGTCAAGACAGCACGATGGAGGGCAGAAGTCTTGAACAGTCGTCAGCGCGACGAACAAGACGAGAACAAAAATGGACGCACTTCGGGGTGAAGCAGACAACCGCGCTGGATTGTATCCAAGCTTCAATGGCGCATGTGAGCAAGGTTATTATAGCGCAGGTGCAAGCAATCTTACTGGTCGTTATGGATCTTGATCATCTCATCAAGGGACTCTGCCTTGTTGAAATTTTCGTGGAATACCGCTAACTGAGAGTACAGGATCTTGATGGATGGTCAGAGCTGCATTGTTTCGATAGCCAGGAAGCTTACATGAGTGGTCAGGAAGTTCAACAGCGTGCTAACAAACAGTAGTCAGCTAATAGCCGTCGCAACACAGAATGAACACACTTGATGAACCACGATAGCTTGCCCCTCATTGCATAAAACACCTTCAACTCATGCTTCATATGTCGTTCATTCCCTATTTCGCCCCGTACAAGGATGCGCTCTAAAACATTTTTCGCTCGCCGTATTTGCAGAAGAAACGCGAAGATCGACCCATAGATCGAAAATACACGCGGCGTGAAGATATACGCCAATGGAAAAGGCACTGCATATTCGACGAGTAGACCATCAAGAGCTTCCACTGTCTGTGCGATGACGGTGGTTTTGCTTCCCCGATAGGAGAGGCGAACAAGGGAAGTCTCGATGTACTTTGTGGCGTTATTGGCATCTACAACATCCCTAAATGCGCTGTTCAAGAAGTGGAAGTCTTGCCAGTGTTGCTGGCTGTCCATCTGATGATCTGCATTAGCACCTGCATACTGGGATAGATAGAATACTTGCTTTTGCAAAAAGGACATCGGCGAAATGGCCGATGACGTCTCCCCTGGTCATCAGATATAGCCCTTCGATGGCCGCGAAGTGGCGTGAAAGATCGCAGTCCTCGGTTAGCACTTGGGTAAGCTGAGATCCCGAAGATGTGTAATAGGGCGCGATCTTGTCGGAGATAAGGTGAGCGAGGTTCTCTGGATCTGAAGCATCCTTTTTGTGCTGTCCTATCAGTGTTGCGAGTGATGACCAGTGGACATCGTTATCTGCATGATTCAGCAAGGGAATCCCCAAGACCCGCAGCAGACCGACTGCTTTTCCGGTTTCGAGTATACGATCAGCTATACGTTCCAGAAATACCGGAACGGAAATTGCCTTCGGATCTCCTGTGCGCGCTTCAAAGTCGCTCAAAGCCTTAAGAACATATCCTTCCGCCCAGAAATCAGGGTCCATAAGTGGAAGTTCGTTATCCTCGACGAAGAACTCTTCATCTAGGGTCTGATTATCAGAAGGTTCCCACGTGTCCCGCACTGGCATCCCATCGCTGACCCAGCGGCCCACCATCACCCAAACAGGCTGTGCGGACCTAACAAACACCTCAGTGAGAGCTTCAGTGGTGATTTCGTCTCCCAGTGAAGACTGCTCCTCTGCAGAACGCAGACATGAGTCCAGTAGATGGGCAGTAACAGCCGCTGGCGGCACGCGACTAGACAGGGATACCAATAACCAGACCTCTTCGTCGGACGTATTATCTGATTGCATGACATAGCCCATTATCTCTCGCAGAATGGCCAAAAGGAGGTCGAAGGTAACTGAAAAGTGATCTCTGACGTCTTTTTCGAGACCCAGTAGACTGACGACCAGCTGGTTGCCAAGGCCAGCGTGAGCGTAACATATCCGTTCTTCTTTGTCGGCGCACCAGCGGTCGAACTTTTGTAGCTGAGAATCGATCGCATCTGCGAAAGCTTCGAGGGTCTGCGAACGCGTGTTGTGAGATAGAAGGTGCGTCGAGCTCAGAGGTGGGTTTGAGGTTGAAAATACATTGGAAAAGACTGCGGAGGTGAATTTTCTGATGTGGGACATGGTGCTAGCAAGTTGCGCAAACGACGAGAGGATAGAAGTTTGGGATGCTAATGTCAAATGAACGAGACGTGGAGCATTTGGTGATGGCCGCTGTATAAGATTAGAAGGGGAGTGTAAATCTGTACCCTGCAGATACTTACCATGAGCGACGGGGATCTCGAGTTGCTGGTGATCATGAGGTTTTTGCGTCCCTGGAGACACATGAGTACCTCACGAACAGCGTCATGCTCGTTGATGTATTTCTAGAAGCAGTGAGTTATTGTCACTTGTTCTAACGTCGCAAGATCTGACCTCGCGTTCAGGCCCATCAATCAAAAGAGTTGTTCTTTCACCAAGAGCTCGGCTCAGTGAAGGGCCTACAAAGTCATTAGTGATGAAAACCCCACAATACATGCAAACTACCAAGTGTTGATGCATCGCCCAGACTAAATGGCTGAGATAAATCGGCATCTGTTCGCCATTCTTCTCTCCAGTACTGTCGAGCTTGCAGCTCCTCCACGACCCTACGATGTTGGTATGAAAGGCTCAAAGTTGGCTGCTCATAGGATGAGACTCGTTCCACGGGACCAGGAGATGAGGGAGCATCTTCAGTGTAGGGAAACGAATCACTATCATCCAAATCGTCCGAGTCATCGTCCCAGGGTGAAAGTGAAGGAGTGCTACCATCGCTCGTTTTTTCCCAACCTTCTACCGTGCTTCCTGATGGCAAACCATAAGCACCCTCCCAGTGTTGTCCCTCGAAGGGCTCCTCGGCCAGGATATCCTTCCAGGTGAGGGAAGGTGCTGGTGCTGGTGGATTTTTGACCGCATCAACATATGCATCTGCGTGCTTGAGAGTAGACGCTGTTGGTGCAACAGACAGAAGAGCCTATCAAGCTGTTGGCTTCTCGACCGCATAGGATGAATATGATCTCACAAGCAGTTGCAGGTGGTCTGGAAGATGCGCGAGCTGTGAAGGGACCTTTCAGTATTGCACTTACGCACGATAATTCGGGACTCCACTTTGATGTCACTGTCAATATTGGTGAGTTCCTTCGCGCTATCTTTCACTTTCCGATATGAGATCTCCAAAGCTTCCGCAAGGGTATCATTGGACTGTATACGGTATTTTTCGAGGAAACTGAAGGAACATGCATTGGCTGAATAACACTTTCATATATAAGACGACTATATGTACCCGTGAAAACGTTTGTCCATGGTTGCCATATCAGAGCTCGGACCCCCTTTCGTTGCCGTAGCGTGCTCTAGGTTCCTAGAAACGAAATCCAAGGCCATACGAAAGTCCTCTTCATCATTCTCTAAAGTGAGTCCAGTGAGTTGTGTGATTAGTTTCTGGCACAAAGGCGCGAGTCGCGTAGACTGCCTGGTGGCCGGTCGCGAAATACGCGAACTTGGTCGAGAAATGCGTGATTGAGGTCGCAAGGACGCGCTTGAAACTGGCCTTGCGTATGACGCGCTGGAAGGCGGCTGCTGTGATAAGCTGGAAGATGGCCGTTGATTCAGCGCGCGAGAGTGAGGACGGGCCGACAGTGTCGAGGATGGTGTGCTCATCGTAGCATCTATCAACGAACAGCCGTAAGTGTTTTGTTTGTGCAAAGTTTGAAATTTAAAATCCCGCGATACTCTTGGCTCCTGTCATAAAAAGTTCCGCACAGAGGTTGATTTCTAGTCAAATAATGTCGGCTTTGACCAACAACGCACATCGACTTCTTTTGCTAGGAATAAAGGCGACTCGGAAACCCTCCTTCGCACGGCCTTTTCCGTCTTCGAGAGCGTACGCTGCGTCTACGCGAACATGGACACCAAAGACGTCAACTCCATCCTCCCGTCCGCCCAAGGTAGTGAAGGCAACTGCTAGTACGAGCGTAGCAGGTACTGGCAACCTAGGCACAAGAGAAAACCTACCTGATGCGTCAGAAGAGATAGATATATCTGAAGCTGTGAATGGAAGTATTCCACCTGAGACCGTGCCTTCTTCTGCATCTCTGTCTTCACCTTTCCCTGGCGATTTTCCAGCAGCAAGCGACATTGGGTCCACTGATTGGTCAACCAGTTACCATGGACTCTCTGTGCAAGCCTTCTCAAAGGATATCGCTAATATTCTGTTGGCTCCTGTGGATGACATGGATATAGAGATGAAGCCAGGTACTTTTCGAGTGCATGGTTTGCGAATTATGTTCCTGAATATCATTCATAGATGGCTTGATCTACCTTCCAGAAATAAAGTATCGTCGCGCCCTCAACAAGGCATTTGGACCAGGCGGATGGGGACTCGCACCTCGCAGTGAGACAAACGTTGGGCCCAAGGTCGTCAGCAGGGAGTATGCGCTTGTCTGCCAGGGCCGGTGTGTTCATCCTTGTCTTGCATAACAATTTATGAATATGTTTCCTGCAGCTTGGTAGCAGTTGCCCGCGGTGAACAAGAATATTTCGATCCATCCAATATTCCTACGGCAACGGAGGGCTGTAAGAGTAATGCCCTCATGCGATGCTGCAAAGATCTTGGAATAGCAAGCGAGCTTTGGTGAGTGTCATCGCGGATGATACGCCTCGGTTATTCAATCTTAATCGTAATACAGGGATCCGCGCTTTATTCGCGAGTTCAAAGCTAAGTATTGCGTTGAAGTATTTGCAGAGCACGTTCCAACGAAAAAGAAGTATGTAAATTCTAAACAATCTTTCTCTGGCGTGCTGATGGAACGTGTCTAGGAAGAAATTGTGGAGACGTAAGGACCAGCCGAAATTTGATTACCCCTGGAAAGAGTAGACCTATACAACATATAATCACGTCTTTAATCTTCGGGATGTGGCTTGTCCAGCACTGGTATGTATCCCTTCGATTCGACGCCAAATTAGAGCCTTTGGCATGCAGTGTGCATCTGAGACAAGTTGCTTCGCTAATCCTCCTCGTTATCATTGATCCCCAACTAAGCGGTCACCGCAAGCCTCAATATAACACCTCAGGCTGAAGTGGTGCGTCCAGATTGTGTCCAACTTAGTCGCTCGACTATCATTGCGGTGGCATGCACACATACCCTGTGGCTGATAGTAACTGGAAAAACAGCCGCAGGTGACAATGGTAATATTCTTCACGTTTTCATGCACCATAACCACAGGATCATCTCCCTCATTACTCGACATCCGGAGTGAATTTAAAGGTGACATTCGGAAGAGAGTAGTGGATATAGGTGTAGAACCGATGAGAACTTGACACGAAGTGTTTAAATTTGTTAGTGAGAAGTCCCAGACTGAAAAGCTCGAGTTGCAATTCCCTGAGCCTGTCACAGTTAAGGCATATAATATGAATCAGGGCTTCGGGAGCCTACTTGCTAGTGTTGAAGACATGTCTAGACTGTAGTATCATTGAAAAATTGGTCATTCACTGGTTTCTGATTCTCGTTCCGGCATAGCCACTGACTCGGAGGCATGCGGTCCGGCCCACCGCCAACTTTCTTCTTAACTTTGTTAGTTCGCTCATGATCATGAACAAGTTGTTCCTCCCTCTTCTTTCTCGTCTACGCTCGGCAGTTGTCTGTCGCAGCTATTTGAAAAGATATATAACAACATCACCTGCATTCGACTCTGATGAATCGCGGGAAGTCGAGGATTTTGGAACGTACAATGTCATCTTACCTGAGGAGCCGTTCGTGTGGGGCGTCTCCCATATAACCCGGCGTCCAGTTCCAAGTCATATTGTTCGACCAAAATACGCGGTCCAGCTCGACCCCCCAATGTCATCGGAGATAGACCATACGCAGCAATACGAAGGAGACGGAAGAATAATTCTGGGTAGCATAGACGAGAAGCGCTTGCGAGCAGCCGCGACACTTGCTAAGAATGTGCGCCAGTATGCTGGCTCGCTTGTTCAGGTGAGATTTATCAATATTCACTATGCGGATGCAAGATAATTTGTCGGTAGCCGGGTGTGACCACCAATTCGATAGATGCCGCAATACACAACTTTATAATTGCGCATGAAGCATATCCTTCACCACTACTATACAAGGGCTTTCCACGTTCGTGTTGCACCAGTGTCAACAATGTTGTTTCGCATGGCATACCAGATGAGTGAGTGCCTTTGTACGAGCTGTCTTTTAAGACTCAACAAGGTGACAGTCGACCTCTCGAGGATGGGGATATAATTAACATTGATGTGACAGTCTATTTCAACGGTTTTCACGGCGATACTTCTTCTACTTTCCTCGTCGGAGATGTTGTAAGAAACATCCCTCAGAACAATTACATTCTTCGTGATTTACTTGCATGATAGGACGAACCTGGCCGAGACCTTGTGCAAATGACAAATGCTGCACTCGAGGCTGGTATTAACGCTTGCGGACCTGGTAGACCGTTCAATGGCATTGGAAGGGCTATACATGAAATGGTGCGAAATACCCGTCATTCTGTCTGTCCTGCCTTCGCTGGGCACGGCATAGGGACCGTTTTCCACCGACCCCCTTGGATATATCACACTCGCAAGTCCATGTTTTATTCCCGTGTCGATGGTATCATTAACGTTTGCTTCGCAGTAAATGAAGAACCTGGCGTAATGCTTCCTGGGCATTGCTTTACCATTGAGGCAATCAGCTTACTGCATCTCGTGACCTATCGCTAACGTCCGCTTCTTTCAGCCTGCTCTAGTTCAAGGTTCTAATCCTAGTGTCTGGATTTTTCCGGACGGCTGGACTGCATCGACGGAGGTGCGACTGGCCTGCTATAAGCCCGAATATTTTCCTAACGGTTGTCTTGAGCAGAATTGTGCACGAAGCGCTCAAGCAGAACATATGATTCTCATCACTGAGACTGGTGTAGATGTGTTAACGCAGTGATTGTTTTATTCACCTCTAGGACAAATTGGCAATGTGAAACATATAATGTTACTTTTAATACATTTGCATAGTACCTAACCCATCTACGACGGCGTAGTCATTACCCACTCGCTCATAAATCTAAGCAGCACCTGCGTGAGATCCCCCTTGACATTTCTGTTGTCATCGACGCTCTTTTGCAGAATAGGCTTCGCTTGCTTCAATAACTTCTCCAAATCCGTCGCCATCTCTCCCGGCATTCCCCTCCTAATTCTGTCTGTGAGTGCCCTAGATGGCCTTTTTGAACTTTCTCGCATGTCCATGGTCTGTGGAATGTGATCCTCCGAGTCCATTTCAGCAGCGTCAAATTCTGGCTTCGAGAGCCACATCGCAAGCTGCGTTGCCGCATACACGAGCAATGCCTCCACTGTCTTTCGGGCTGTCAGCATGCCTTCCTGCACATCAAGCGGCGTATCTTTGAGCGACGCAGGGGGGGCGATGGCCTGACCTGCTGGGCGATCGACGAGGTGTCGTAGGACATCAAGGGTACAGTTCGCGAGTTCAAGCAAGGTCCCCAAAGATGCTGGTTCCCCCGGCACCACCTTAGAATGCTGCAGGGAAACGGTAAATAAATAAAGTTCTGCTTCAGAACGTGAAGCTACGCACAGGAACTACCACTGCTTCTTGAACGGGCCATTCTTCTTGTTCACCAAGAAGAACGTCATACGCTCGGCTGATGCTAATCAGCGTAGACACCACGGAGCTTGACAGCCTAAATAACCGATGAACGAGACGTGCAGTCAACGGATGTTTCTGCAGGTCGGCCATGTCCACTGATAACAGCGAAGATGCGGCGGTAGGCTCCTTTTCCAGCAATGCACGCTCTTCCGCAGTCACCGGTTCCAAGAGACTGGCGATGTGATTAGGGTGCGTCAATGCGTAGTTGAGTTGCTGAAGAAGCATGAGCGCGTGGGTCGTGAACACACGTAGGACCTTGACGACTGCCGGGTTTGGGGAGGCAGTAGGAGGAGCACTCTCCGCAAGCGCATAAAAGAGGCCAACGACCTGTTCCATCTCCTCCAACAATGGTAGTGTAATCGGATCACCGACACTCCAGCTCAGCGCCCGGATAATCTGCTTGCCATACAGCTGTACGAATCCGCAGGCCTCTGCGTCGAAGAAGTGGTGTTGCCGCTTGAGAGCAGAGACGATGGCAGAAACGATGGCTATCATCGAGCAGTATGTCTTGTGTGCTGGGCTCCTCTCTCCAGGAAGCTCAGGCAACACAACGTCGATCTGCCCCGAGCTTGCCGCAAGGCTAATCCCGTTGTTACTATATGCCGAAATGATGCCTTCGCTGGCGAATCTCTCAGCCCCGGATGATATGCTTACTACAGCCATGTGGAATAGGAGGATGTGGGGCGCGTACAAAGGTTGCATGCGTGTGCGAAGCAGGGGCAGATCAGTGAGGCCGATCACATCTGTCCGAGTGAGTAATTCCAAGCTTGATTTGATGACATCCGTCTCTTGGCATCGAGTCAACCATGTTACAGACGAGACGTTGATATCAGGACGCGTGCATTGCTCGAAGACTGCAACCAGTAGCTCCATATCCCGATCGAGATCGAGATCAAGTCGTGTACGGGCAGAGTCAAAGGTAAGGCGGAGAGCATCAATTACTAGTGGAAGCGTTGCGTCCACCAAGCCAGAAACGGCAATGCGCCTGCTAGCGGTGAGGACCTTAGGTCGCCTGGCAAGATTCCGGCACTGGCGAACACAGAAGTAGATGACCTGGAGCAGGATTTGATGGAAAGGCACGGATAATTGTCCCAGGAATGACTGAGAAGGAGGTTGTGCCTCATTCAACAAGACTTTGTGTATGTTATCCACGAGGTTCATGAAAGACGTGATGTGCTTGTCGGTATCCGAATCAGAGAACCAGACCACTTCGAGAATCGATAGCAATAAATTGAGTCGCGTGCCATGGAGTTTCGCCATCATGTCTCCCGATCTTTTCTCCAAAGCTAGGTCTCCGGATATCGTGGCAGAGAGTGATAGGAGGTTCGAACGGATCTCTGGCACCGGCCGCACAAATGGCAACACTTGATGCAAAAGGAACTGCCACGACTCCGTCAGGGCCGTCTGAGCGTAGGTGAGGGAGAGATTGAGATTCAAGGACGCGATTCTCTTTTCCACTTCTTCCACTGCATTTGCCCTATCATCACCCGACAGGCATTGTTGCATACGACTGCGAAGAAGTGCTATGGAGAACATGAAGTCATCGCCAAACTGCCGCTCGTCGCTGAGATCCTGCGACTGTAGGTGAGTAAGGGAGAGGCCCGGGAAGTCCTGCTGAAGCTGCACGGCGAGTTTATCAGAAAGACTGGGGTCATACGATGTGCTCTTTGCTTCTAATATCAATTCGTTGAGTTGATCTTCGGACTTGAATGATGGAGCTAGCTTGCTGTAACTCAAGGGCTTCTTCGCGGGCTCACAGGACCTAGGCTGTGGCTGAAGGAAGATGTCCTGTCCAATGACACGCACAGCATATGACTTGACCATGTTGCGATACGACTGAACAGATACTGCTTCGTGGAGACTTGATCGGCGCTCGTCGTCCAATATGATGAATGTCTCTGTCTCGTAGTCAGGATCGGGACCGAGCTCCTCTTTAACAACAGCAACCACATTGGTCCAAAACTCGTCATTACCACGAGTAGTCTCGATGAGATTTTTGTGTTCAAGCCCGTGTTGCCACACGACATAAATGAAGCGAAACACCGATGCTAAGAGTTGGGGATTGGCCTCCCACAAGTCTTTCCACCGACTGAGCGTTTCGTTAGCAACTTCGAGGGCACTCATGTACTTCTTCGAATCATCCTCTCCTTGCGATTTAGCGTTCTCCTTGCTCTTGATTTTGTTGTTCGGAATCCGGAATTGTCCTGTAACGAAGAGGTTGGCTAATGCTGGTTCCTTATCAACGGCAAGGGCTATGAAGTTCCAAACGGCATTGCGCAGTGCGAGATCCTCGT